CAAATTACATACTAAGATAGATTAAACCAGTTTTACAATGTATTTGTTGTTGTGCTAATGTCCTTTGGTAATATTTATTATCCATTGTGATGCTCTAAAATTGCCATGGCAAGGGCAACTAGAAGAATAAGAATAAGAAAGAACAAGGTACTAGCTCCCATTTGAGCAGAGCACCGCGACAATGATTGATCTTTTGTGCTACAACAGACCCTAACTGAACAAAAGACATTCCGCCTTTCGAATGAAGGCCAAAATGTCGGTTGTTGAGAACCTCCTAATGTCGGAAGGTGCTAGCAATTCCCGACCCAGTGATCTCCTCCTGGCCCAGATCAAAGCTGGGCTGGGTTTTCTCCTCTGCCTCCAAGCAGAGTCTACAATCTATCTCTTCGGATAGGCCCATTTTGTTGAGGTGGTAACGTAGCCCATGGTGACCCGTTAGATATCCCACTAGTAACCTCAACTCTGTTCTGCTAAAGGAGGATATCTTATTATAACTATAGGGGAGAAGGGCAACTATACTAACCGTTGTTTTGACTAGAACTCCATATGCTGTCCTTGTAGTTATTTCAGATGATGTTAAGGATATATTATGTCTAATTTTGCTATCTTTACATATTGATAAGTAAACAAGAAAAAGAAAAAGAAACTTTTTCAAGATTATAGAGATATACTGTATATTATATGTAAGTCCGTAGTGTGTCAAAGATTTTTCCGTAGATTGCATTCTGAACATGTTGCTAATAATGGACGCTTATATAATTTATAAAACTGGCTTTGTCTACACCAAGGCTGTTCAGACCAGATGCGATCGCGGACCAATACAAAACAGAGGGCCGCAGTAACAAAAACATGCGTTCATAGTTGTTTTCAATAAAAATAAAAATACAATTATAATCTTAAAATTTAATAATTTTATTAATTTATCAATTTAAATTCAATATTTGGTACTTGTGGTAGATTAAAAACATGTTGTGGGTCGTGCTTTGGACAGCCCTGGTCTACACTAAGTCATAATGTCTATATTAACTTAATTTATCATTTTATTTATTATTTCTTATTACAATTTATTAGTACTACTATATTATATCTATATATAGTACTAACCAATTTTAATACTGGTATAATGAATAAATAATATAATATATAGCCAGTCACATCTGCGTTTTAGAATAATATTTAAATAAACATTTGATTATGCTAACAGCAGTTAACAATGCATTGAGTTCTTTAAAAACTTTCTTATATTTATTTATAATTAAAAAACTTTAAGCTTCCATGCTTATTTATTTTTATTGTTTTAATTACAATACTTTTTATTATCAATTCTCCCAAGGCTTTTAATCTACAAATAAATATCTTTAATCTTTAATAACAATGTTACCTTAAAATAAATACAAGTCATTTTAAGAGAAAAACTTTTTTTTAGTATTGTACTTTTTATTGTTTATTATTTAATCTATAAAATTGTCAATTGCACGCAATCATTGTGTAAACTTTCCTTGAATGTCAAAGCGATGGGCTTGAAAATTTTTTTAAGTACTTTAAGAACGCAAACTTCGATGCAGTAAATTTTTACTATAGTCAATTGAAGTACAACAGATATTCTTATATACTATGTATATAAGCTGTATAGTACAAAAAAAAAAATAAGATATGCATATTGAAATTATATACATATAATATTGAAAGTTTAACTTAAGAAAATCCTTGATTGTTGTAACCTTTTTTTTTTGCATTATTAGATAATTTATTAGAATTGTTTTGGGTATGCAGCTTAGTAAAATAGTATGTTGTCGGTTATGTGAGATATATATTCAATAAAATTATATTAATAAAATAATATAATTTTTGTTGTCTTTAAAAGTTTATGAATAAATGGAAAAGTTTTAAATTGTGAGCTCTGACGTCATTGTCCCATAAAAAAAATGTGATATAAATGTGTATCCTATCTCTAACTGCTATTTTTTATTTTTAATATGAGGCATTCCTCTAAATAAAGTATTCACTTTGATATTTCAAATTTATTTATTTATTAAATTATTAAGCATTAAGCAATTCATTATTATAGTTTTCTTGTTCAACGTGTCGTATAAGTAACTTTTCGAGCATTTTCTTCATAAATTTTATATTTTATATTTTAGAAGCTTGAGAAATTTATTTTGTAACAATTTTAAAGTTCTTTAAAAACTTCAAATAATGAAATGCTTGAAGTTTTTATTGCAGAATCGCTTTTTTAACCGCAACCAGTTTTTTATGAATTTTTTATGTATATCTTTTAAAACAATAAAAATTTGTTACTTGCTAATTCATTGGTTTCGGCAGCGAACTTGCGAACTTTTAAAATAATTTATTTCGTTATGTTTTTTTTTTGTTGAATTTTATTATTCATAAAATATGAATAAAACTTGCCTCTCTAAGTGGCGTGTGGACATAAGTATTATAAATTTTGCGGATCTAGGCTTTGGTGTCGAATCGCACAGAGCAGTAACATTTTTTTCATATACAAATATTTTAAAAATATTAATAGTACATTTTTTTAACTAAATATAACAGTCTATATTTAGATATATTAAAAGATTTTAAATTTTAAAAATGTTAATGATTTTTATCTATTAAATCTATCAAGTTCAGCCTTTTTTGTTTAATATAATTAACAAATTCATACAACTTTAGATGAGTCACGCTTTCAGCTGTTGCCAGCATAGGTTTTGAGCTCTAATCTTTTAATGAATTATAAGATTTTTTTAACATACATATCAAAGCTATTGACTTAACCCAATCTACATACAGTAAGTCTGTCAGTGTGCAAATTTTGAATTTTTAATTACATTCAGTTATTTTTTTATGTAAATAAAATATTAACTTCAAGTTAATATACTGACATATATGTTATTTTTGCATATATTATACTTCCGAGAGTTGTTTTTTTTTACATTTTTGCGGTTTCCCTAATGTAAATCGTATATGTCGTATATGAATTAATTCATATTAATTCATTAAAACCAAAAAAAAAAATAAATAAATAAATGTCAGTTTATTCACCTAATAAGTTAAATACAATAATAAGTATATACATATTATACTCTGAGTATGCCGTCATTAATTTTGCATATATTTACAAATATTATTTTTACATTAAACACGTTTTCTTATTCTTAAGTCAACGTCATTACTTGCTATAAAATTGTATCTTTAATTGTATTTGTAATTTAAAATTAGAAATGTACTGATTGATTTTCTAATGTGTGAATGCGTATATGCGCAAGTATGAAAATAAGTAAATATTAAGTTATCTGAAAAGTAAACCTCTAATATGTGAAAGTATATTGACATTTATATTCCGTGTTCGCTGAGAAGTTAAATAATTATTTTTGATAAAGTTTTATCTATTAAGAATTTAAAAGAAAATATCAACAAAGAAAAATGTGCAGTATTATGTTAAGGTTTTCCAAGTTAGTGCAACTGAGCAGTTTTACTGTTTATTAGCTGGAGGGTTTCTACAAAGTCCCTCCCATCTCTTTGACTAATTTATGTATTCCTCACGATCTTCGCTGATAATGACTCTTCGCTAAGAGTGACTGCTCTGAGATTAGATAGTGCTAACTTCAGGACTCTGTCCTTTATGTATTTTTTGAACGGGTCTATTCTGAGGTCTTTGGAGAGCCTGACTTTGAGCAACATGTAGCTTCTTGATAGTAGAGTTGGCAGTATGCAGTACTAAATTTATTAATATTTTATTTAAACTTAAAGCGATTTTCAATGACAAACTAAGTTATTTTATAATGTTATAAAACATTATGCTGAACATTATTATCAATACTACCATTTACTACTAAGTGATATAAAACAAAATGTGGGTTATGTTATATTATATCTTCGATCTGTTTATTCTACAAATTTTTCCCAATTTTCTTATCCCAAGTTGAACTATAATTTGTTTCATTTTGTCTATCCACTGCAGATGTATCTTTGCATCTGAAGTTATGAAAATCATGCAGTTGATTTAAATAGCACAATTATTCCTATTTGTAATAAATTAAACACAAAGAGCTAATATATTATAAGTTAAATAAAACAATATTTTTGACTGTTCCAATTACGGATATAATCATTTAATTTTTATTTAAATAACTTTTAATTTTTTATTTTATTTAATTTAAAAATTTACAGAAAACACTTAAACACAGAACATTTACAGATTTAATTGCAAAAATATTTCGAAAACAGAATATATAAAAATATTTTACATGTAGTTTTTAGCTAACGTTGTTCCCCAACATCTTTTGCTTCCATCTATTTTTACAGCCATATCAACGGTCCGGTGACTAAGTCCTAACGCTGTTAAGTCCAAACAGTAAAGCGTTGTAGGCACATAACTCAAATTATAAAAATGTAAACTAAACGCTGCTTTTAATATAAAAAAAATATAAAAATAAAACAAAAACATAAAAAAAATATATAGAATTAACTCAATAAATTGTGTGATATTTTATGTTTTTTCATTTAATTTTAATTGTAAATAAATTTAGTGCAAATTATGTAAATTATTTAATTTTAAATTATACAGATTTTTATACACTTGCAAATTCGTTAATTAATTGGTAAATTAATTATTTTTGCTTTTATTCAATAAAACAAACCAAATTTTTATATTATTTAACAGTTTCAATAATTGTTTTTCTTAAATATATGAAAGCATAAAGCCAGTATCGAAATTATTAGTTCTTAATCAATATATTAATATTATTGTTTTATAAAAAAAAATTGCACATATAAGTATTACATAAAAATTCCTATTTATATTTATTTTTATGATTACTCATTATTTTTAAATAAAAATTTAATAATTTTTAGTAAATAAAACATTTAATAATTTTTAATTTTTATAATAAATTAATATTATTACAAAACAATGCAAATTATTTTTAAAAAATAATACAAATAGTTCAATTTTATTTTTGTTATACAAAAAATACACACAATATATAAATTTTATTTCAACAAAAAAAAAAAAAAAAAAAAATCTATTAAATTTAAAATATATAAAACTTTGAACGATTTCCATAATGTCGCAACCTAATAAAAAAGAAGAACTGCAGCAATCGCAGAATGCATTTCCCGATGAAATGGCATTCGACAACAAGGGTTTTCTTGATACTCCCACATCAGCTACTACACCATTCATGACATCCACACCCACACCGACATCTACACCACCTGCATCCACAACTATCAGAATACCTGAAATCAAAACTGAAAATGCAAATGAAACTGAGTTCACATTAAATAATAACAATGACATCGAACGAAATCAGCTGAATAATGATAGCAATAACAAATTGAATAGCAAAAATAATTTAAACTCACAATTATTAAATTTCAACGAAATCATAAACAATAAAGACAATACATTGCCCTATATAAATAGTAGTGGTGTACCACACGGACTCTATCGACATTCATTGCCGGCACCATTACCATTGTCCGAAAAAGATGAACAGGATGATAAATATAAATTATATACAATTTATGGAAATGGTGAGTGTCTCAAGGGATCTGCGTACTTACATGCAGAATATTCGTTGCAATGTTAATGTTATAAAAAGTTTTTGAAATTGTTATTTGGCTAGATATATCCCGCTCCCCTACTCTAAAAGTTATTTTGTTAAATTTTTATAAATGCAGTTTATTAAATAAATATTTATTTTATATAAATTAGTTTAGTTTATTACATTTTACATATTTTTAAATAATAATATTTATTCAATTTATTTAAAATTTATATTATTCTATGCACATAAGTTTTATATTGCACTTTAATATATATTATTTGGTACAATAATATAAAATTAATATTATGTCTTGTGTTTATAATAGCTCCCATTAAGTATATTATTTTTATAAATATTTTATGTTACTTCAAAGAAACAGTTATAACCAAGTAAGGCCTTAAATATGATTTATATCAGTTCAATAAATAAATACTTCACCGAAAGTATAGTTTTAAAACTAAACATAAATATTGAGTCAACTATGTAAATTTTTATATTATTTTTTTCTATGAGTTATTTTCAAGTGATTTACTTAATCATGACTAAAATACTTTAAGAGCAATTTTACCTCTTCTATATTAGTTTACAAATATTAATATAAAATAAATATCAATTTAAAATAATAATTGCTTAATAAAATAATTAATTATATTGCCTAATTAAGTTTATATTACAAATAATGTTATGTATAATGAAATTATACATATTATTTTTTAATATTTCAAATTATTTTTATAATTATTTATACTCAATAATTAACATTGCAATAATAATTAAATTATTATTATAATTATATATAGTTATTTATACAATTATAACACATAGGTTCAATTCTCGTTATGATAGTTAATTAATACCTATAAAACGTTAGACATTATTACCAATAAAAATATATTATATATATTATTAAATTTATAATTAACATTAGAAATTTACGTTTTAATTATTTATATTTAATTATTAATATTATTATAACAAATTAAATAATTAGTTTAGTGTTATCAAAGATATTACGACATATGGATTTGATTATCTTCTTAATGATATTACATATGTAGTAACGTAAATTATATAAAAATTTATTATATATTATATTAATATCAATATTATTTTTACTTACTTATACATAAAAAATAATCAATTGAAATTAAATAATCATATTTATCATCATATTAATCATAGACATACATTTTTTTTAAATAGATTTTTGAAAATAAAAAGTTTGTCTTAAATCATATATTTATATTGTTATTAATTATTTATATAAATATAATAATTAAAAATTGATTGGATTAAATATTTATAATTTATGAAGAAATAATTTTTATATTCTTATTTAAAATTTAACTTATATTTAATTTAAGTTAAGATGAAAAAATATAATTTTATTCTAATTAATAACAAAAAATTAGACATATTTTTTTAATTATATAGCTTTTATTATTAACATATATAGCTGCAATACAATATATAAATAATTTATATATTTTTTGTTTTATGAAATTAAAAAACTTTTATATATGATGCAATAGTATTTAAATTCTTGACTTGAATGTTTTAACGTATCCCTTAATGTTTTTTGCTGGTTACAAAAAATATTGCTTTATTGATTATTTAATGCTTCTTGGGGTATATAAATAAATAATATTAACTAATATTAGGGATGTATTTGCAGGTGTAAAAAATATAAACATACGTTTTATACTAAAACACTAAAAAATAACACAAACTATTTAATTTATTTCACAAAATTTTTTAGAAAATAAATGACTATATTTTTTTATTAATATTTTAATTTTATTTTTTTCTTAAATACCAATTTTAATTAATCATTTTTTATAAATTATTTAAACTTGTTTCTTTTTTCTTAAAATTTGTATGCCAAAAAACTTTGAAACAGCACAAACTTGCATGCTTTGTATATAATTAATATATTGAAATTTGCCGTATACAGGGTGCAATACGTAAATCTTCAATTTTATGCTGATGTTAATGTTAATATTGGTACTAAAAATGTTTAAGTAATTAATATAAATGTATATTAAATATATTAATGATTGGTTGAATTGCTTTTCGTGTAGGTTTTCAAATTTGCTTTTGATTGCACCCTGTATTAGCGCATATTTCTTATAATGAATTTATATTGTTTTTTCTTTTTTTCAAAGGCAGCTTAAATTTTTTTCTTTTTTACTTATTTTTCTTTCTAATGTATTATATTGTATCTGCATATGTTTGTGGAAGTATATATATTTTCAAATTCCAGTTTAAAATTTTTTTAATAAGAAATATTTTATATTAATAATTATATATAGAGAAACTAAAGTTAAATGTTCATTATTATTTATATTTGTGGTTTTTCTATGAAATTTTATATTAACTAATTTTAATTCTTGCTTTTTCCTTTTTTTTCTTTCTTTTCTTTTTCTTTGTTAAAATTAGACACCGACAATGACAAAGTGTCCGGTTTACCACATTCGACAACCGGTTCACTAAGCTCAATCATCACGACGTCCATAGCATCCTCAGAACCTGATCCAGGAGCGGGCAATGGAGGCGGTGGGGGTGGTGGTGGTGGAGGACACGATTCCACCAGCATTGCTGGCGTACCCGGTAGTATGGATGAGAAAATGGCGCTTAATAGACCCGGCATCAAACAAGAAAAATGGACAACGATTTTATTGCAAGTTTCGATACCATTCTTTTTGGCTGGTATTGGTACTATTGGTGCTGGTATTATACTGGGGCGTGTTGAGGTTAGTATATAGATATTTATTTTTCAAATTTTACTATTTCAAATTTTTTCAAATTAAAAATTTTAAAATATATGTAATTTATTAATTATAAACACAAATCATAAAGGGAAAAGTTCTAAGAGAGTATGAGTGTAAAGATTTGAAGTTTAGTACCCAAATAGCGGATATTGTAATAGAATAAAAATCGAAAGTTTAAAGTTCATCGGACACAATATTAGAGCAAATAATGGTTCTCACATATTTCTTGTAAGGAACTATTTAGATCGTAGCAGAAAAATACCACAGCTATGAATAATAGATAGTGTTTGCAATGATACAATAGACATAGAAGTAAGAAAAGAGTTGCAAAAAAGAACGATGACTGAAGGCAAATCCTGATGCAGCCAAAAACTCAGTGTAGGTTGTGCAGTTATATATAATAATGCGAATATGAGAGAGTGTTAGATACGATACCATAGCCAATTACTCCTAATTTTTTATTGACGGTGACATATTTGTTACAAATAAAGAATAAATTTCATTATTAAAAGCTACATGATATTATCTTAATCATTTAATGTTAATAGACTATTCTATAAACAGTGTCGCCTCATTCGGATTACCCAATCAAGTAAAAAAATGTACTAGCGAGGAAAAGCTTAGCAATCATTTGAACTAATTTCACACAAGGTTCCACAAACGATTTTTGCTGATATTAATGAACTAATAAACCAATTAATTTTGTTTTTAATATTTGTCATAATTATTTTTTCAATGTTATGCATCAATTTACACCTTATTAAGTATTTTATTACATAAAGTTACTCACATAATTTATTACAAAATTAATTTTAAATTATCGCCAAACAGAAAGCAATTACAATAAAATATTTGTTAGATAAATGCGATTAAACGCTTATTTATGTCATTTCGAATAATTAAGCGCAGAAATTATAAAATAATTTATAATTATGTATTAAACAATGTAGATAACTTGTAATTTGTTATTAATTAAATAATTTATAATTTTTGTGTCAGATGTGAGTTGATTAGGTTTGATTCTTTACTTAACAATAGTCTCATTAAAAATTATTGTTCAGGCTGAAAACGCTGTTAGACGAAAATAATTAGCAATTCAAATTTCTTAGATTAATTGCGAGATTAAAATTAATTAAGTGTTTAGTTGGTTTTTTATAATTAGTTTGATGTTGGTTATAGTAAATTAAACATTGCTGACATAGATGTGAGTTGTAAGGCTCGTAAGTTTTAATTGTAGTTTTTTTTAATTTATATACTTATAACTATAAAGAGCAGTTATGGAGTATATTACCGAAAAGAAGACATAAAAATTTATTATTTAATACTTTATATATGATGTTTGACAGCATTTCTCGCAATTATAAGTTAGATAAATTATTCAAAAGTAGCAGACAGCTTCTCATATAATCCCTTAAGTTTCTGTCGAAATGATTATATATGCATATTTATTTATTATTAATATTTCAAATTTGCTTACGAAAAAAAGTATAAAAAGCACATTTTGTCAAAATGCAATTGCCGTACTGACAGAACATTGCTTCATTGATAGGCGTTTAAGGGTTCCTTCAACGATTATTGTATAGTTGTGGATCAGTAAAATATAAAAAATAAAATTTACTCACGTCGTTGTATCACATTCCAACTCTTGCTGGACCAGAAGGTTTGTATTCACTCTTTAGTATTCGCTCCTTAAATAAGCATTAATTCCGCGTGAGCCTTGGCTCACTCACTCTAAGGGTCTAACCTGCATCATTTCTGTGAGATTATTGTGGATAGGCTGTGTATGCACTGCGACCTGAAAGATCTTTTGTGCAGATGTCTATAAGATAGGCTGCCATTTGAATTCACCATCTTATAACATCGAAAATTATTTTCTAAAATAATATCTAGAATACAAAAATTAAAATTATATTGAAAAATATTGAAGTTTTTCATATTAAAGCATCATCTCTAATTTTTAATATAAACAATATACTTATCTCATTAAATATTCAGTGCTTAAATCAACATTCCTTATCGTTTTACCCATCTAATCAAATATATCATTTAAACAATAAATTCAAATCAATATTTAATATCCCCATATAAATGATAATGCCTCCTATAAATAAACAAAAATAAATTTGTAATTATTTATACCGAGATTACAGTCTTCAATCATATATATGAGTACGTCTTTCTAGTTAACTATATCTTCCATTTCATAACGTTATTTTTAAATAGCTTTAAATTGTTTAAGTAATTATCGATAAATTATTCCATCATAAATTTTGAACATCTCAAGTTTTATTTATACTAAATATAATAATTTATTTTAATTCACCTTTGGAAACTAAATATCTCAAGTCAACCTGCATTAAACGTGATTAATAAGTCACAATTCAAAAGAAATTTAAATTCTAATTGCAAAAAAAATTTAAAATTTAGAACTTCATAGCCCATAGTGCATTTAGCGTCATTTAGATGATTTATTTAGTTTAGAATACTAATAAATTTTATAACCAAAATAGGATCAAGTGTCGTTAGTACTTTAAATTACTAACACCAAATAAAAACACAATAAATAAATGTTATCAAGATAATGCCCTGATAACACGGACGTGCCAGTTTTGATGGTCACAATGGTCGATTTGAAATCATATGTTGTATATTATATCTCTACTGGGAGTTGGAGAGGAAAAAAAGAAGAAAGAAAGAAGATAGAACACTGTAACCTGTCCAGGGAGCAATTTTTATCAAATCTTGACAAAACAATAACAATGCAATAATTTTTAAAATTCTAATAATAAATTAAATCTCATTAAAAAATAATAATTATTACAAAATTTTTAAATTTTTTTTTAATTTGATTTTATAGAAATGGCGCGTATTCAAAGTTGTCGGTGAACTATTTATATTGGTGCCCGCTTTGCTTGGCCTTAAGGGAAACTTGGATATGTGCCTCGCTTCACGTCTTTCCACACAAGTCAATTTAGGCAACATGACCTCACGCAAAGAAGTTATACACATGATTGTGGGCAATATTGCATTGGTGCAAGTGCAATCCATAGTTGCTTCATTTTTGGTTGCTATGTTTGCTATATCCGTTGGTGCTGCAATGGAACGTGCATTTCATTTTGAGCATGTTATGTTGCTGACTGCATCTGCTATGTTTACAGCAACATCTTCATGCTTTGTTTTAGGTTTGTACATTTAACATAATACTTTTGCTTTTGTGATATTTTATTTAAATGTATATTATTTTTGCAGATTTTGTATTAGTGGCTGTGATATTATTGTCCCAAAAATTTAAACTTAATCCTGATAATTTAGCAACACCGCTAGCAGCTTCTATTGGCGATGTTGTGTCTATTAGTTTACTGTCATTCATAGCATCTTTGCTTTTTGACAATATATGTAAGTATTTTTTTATAACTGTTTTTATATTATCATAAATTATTTATAACATTTGGCAATATCTCTTAGATATTGTCAATAAACTTAATATTATTTCTAAACCCCTATACTTAATATCTATTTGACCATAAGAAAAATAAGCCTGGAATTCATATTAAAATTGTTATTTATTATTTCATTTTTTTCTTTTTATTAAAATCTCTGAATTCTACAACTTAGGATGAGTATCTCAAAATCTCTTCCAGTCTACTCGTTTCAAATCACCGAGATATCTCTTTTCCTTCTTTAAGGAAATCAGGTTAATTACTATTTCCCTTTTTATTTTCTTCTCGCTGGATCTTATAATTCTTATTATTCTTATAATTGTTGTCAATGTCTTTCTTAGACATTGAACGAGTATATACCAGAGATAATTGTCTTCTATACCGTGGCAATGTGTTTCGTGCAGCAAAAAATATCTATTCATAATAGAGATCAAGATATAACCATGGGTTAAATAATATTTGTTATCTCTAAATATGTTAATTCCCAATATACGCACTAACTACCGCCCTGCTACGCATGATATCGCCCATTTCTTTTCATATACATACTTATTTGAGCCCAATTGATTCATAATTGCATTGCATTGAAGTTGATAATTAGTATCCACCTACACCCTTATCCCTACTCCTATCCACATAATCCCTTTCCTCTTCTCCCTTACTGACCGTCATTCAACCCATTCATGTTTTCTACTCGAAAGGTCCCCTTGGGTTTCAACTACAACAATTACTATAGCAACCATCTTCTATGCATCTTAAGTTAATCTAGTTATTGAAATTATTTAATTAAAAAATCATTATGTCGCAGTAAGGTTAAATTAGTTTTTGTAATATTAAAGTTTTTACCAAAAAAAAGCTTTTGATTTAATTATATTAACTTGAAAATATTTAAATTAAAATTATAAAATGGCAGTAAATGTTTTATGTTACTTGAATAATACTTAATTTTTTAATGAATCCTATAATTTTGTTATTTTCAATACTTTATAATGAATATATTGATTTATTTTTATAAAAAAAAATATTATTTTAAAAAAATATTTATTTTTTTCAACATATATTTATATTCTCCTTATGATTATAAGCTAGAAACTGATCTGTTTTATTACAATATATTTTATAAATAAACTATTAGTCATTATTAACTAATTGGTTTGTGAATCTCTTACAGCAACTCATTTATGGATCACGTTCGTTATTGTTGCTTGTTATTTAGTGCTTTTACCTATGTGGGTTGTTGTCGTTCTGAAGAATAAATATACGCGTCCAGTGCTTAAGAATGGCTGGGTTCCTGTACTCTCTGCGCTTTGCATTAGTGGGTAAGTAATTATTTGCGTCTGAAATTTCAGATTCAATATATGTTTGGTATAACTTTTTTTTTGTTTTTGTGTTCAAAGAGCACTTATTGCACACTTGACACTCATACACAATTCTTGAACTATTTTGTTTAATAAACAAATTAGAAAATAATATAATTTCTAGAAAAAAATTTGTTTAAATATTTCAAGCATACTTCAGAGCTCAAATTGCAATAATTATATACATTTTTAGTTATTAGTGAAGTGGCGAATAGAAAAAAAATATATATTCGAAATTATTAATAATAATATAATTTCAAAAATAATTCGCCAAAGCCGCAATAAATTGAATAAGAATTTATAGTTTTTTTTATTAAAAGTTTTTATAACAATTCGAAGCTTAAGTGCACACTTAAAAAGCAATTGAATTATTTTCAGATTTTTTATTTGTCTGTAAATGATTAGGAAAGTATAAAGAATAAATTTAATATTATTAATAAATGCTTAGAACAATAAAATCTGCAAATCATTATATATTAATAAATTTCTATTTTTAAAAATTTTAATATAAAATATTTATAATTAAAAAAAATATATTATATAAATACAAATATTTACCTCTTCTATTTTTACATTTTATAGAAATATTTTTTTGTTAAAAAAAAAATTAATATAAACATGTTTAAAAATAGATATTTATTTATATATAATGAATTATAGATTTTATTGCTCTTATCATTTACATACATGTACAATATACATGTATATATATATAAATATATATGTATATAAATGGATATGTATGTAAATGTGTATGTATATAAATGTATATGTATATAACTGTATATGTATATAAATGTATATGTATATAAATGTATATGTATATAAATGGATATGTATTTAAATGTATATGTTTTTTATTTACTTCTTTTAGTTTGGGTGGTCTTGTTCTCGATGCTGCTGTAGAAATCTTCGACGGTTTCGTTGTGTTTCAACCTATTATTAATGGAATTGGTGGCAATTTGGTTTCAGTGCAAGCAAGTAAAATTTCTACTATGTTACATCAAAGCTCAATTATTGGTATTATACCACCACATACAAAGATTTTTGAATGGCCATGGAAAGCACTTTTCAAAGGAGGTATTATATTTTTCAACAGCTCTTTTAGAGAATTTTTACTTATGTTATTTGTTTCGTTTAGTACCATATGCTAAAACAGCACGTATACTTATTGGCATGTCAATTCCGGGTAACATCTTATTCATATTTGCAGCTGACTATATACATATGTCTACATCGACAGTAACTTTCCCGTTTATTGCATCCTATCTTGTGGCGAGTTTAATACAGGTAAAAATTAATATATTTATATACAAAACAAATATAAATTTTAAGATTGACTGTAAACGAAAGTCAACCTATAAAGCAAGTATTTAAATAGGTAATAAAACACTGTATAAAATGAAAATAGTGATGTAGTGTGAGGTAGTAGTAAAGGTAGGCAAATATATAAATCCTAAACAGGTATGGTTACACATTAGGGATAAGCATATTTATGCGTCATAAGTTATTGTTTAGCACATGGCTATGAATTTATCAAGAAAAGTTATTGGTAAACTAATGAGACATTTACCATACTTACAAATTTTAGGTGGAGATTTGTTAAGAACTTTGATCTCGAAGAAGATCTTTTGGAAATTTGTTGGAGACTATGTTAATGCTGACTAGGGAAACGGAGACTGAAACCACAGCAGACCGATATAGTTTGACATATGGTTAGGGGCTGAAAATAAAAGAATCGGAATAATTAGTTGCTCTCAACTCAATACACGTAGCGAAAGCTCTTGAAAGGAATCAAGTTAACACCAAGGATATATATACCTTGTTTTTTAAATTTTCTTTAACCATGTTGAAAATAAATAACACATTTTTTTTGGAAAGTCTGTTGTATGTCGAATAGTAGAAGCTCCAACAAAATACCAGTCTTTACATCATATAACCAGTCTTTAGACCATAGCACAGCATACAACATACTATCTATACTCTTCATTATTTATCTTTTGTTTTAAATATTCAATATTTATTTTCACGGCTCTAATTCTTCTACTAACAGTCTTATTACAATATATACAAAACATTCCATTAAATTCTGTCAAACTGACTGACTGTGAGCCACGTTTAGATCAGGTCTGGCCACGTTTAAAATAAAATTTAAACTTTATGTAGAGTTTATAATAGAAAAATTAAAAGGAGTTTTAAAGGATCAAGTAAAGGAGTGTTGGAAACTCCATTCTTTATATAAACTCACAAAGTTTATTTTAAAGATTTTTAAGACATATAGTTTATACCATACCTTTGCGAGATTTGTACCCAGATCCTGTGTAACTTAGTTCTAATGCATACGACTACCCAAATCGTAATTCATACAGGTAAATCTAATGACTTTCGAATATAAATCATAGTTTTTATATATATGTGAGAGTATTTGAATATTTATTATTAGTTACTTTATCTATTATTATAAGTTTTTATTTTTCTAAATAAATCTATTATATTTTAGAGTTTTATCATTGTTAATGTTTTTATTATTGATTTTAAAAATCTTAAAACTTTATATAAACTTAATTTCAATATATTTATAGGTGATGCTACTCTTGTATATTGCTCATATTATTGTACATGCTATGTGGAAATGGAAAATAGATCCAGATAATTCTTCTATACCATATTTGACTGCCCTAGGCGATTTACTTGGTTCCAGTTTGCTGGCGTTGGCGTTCCTTTTCTTGCTTTCAATCAATCAAGAATATGGTGCAAATATGGAACAATTTAATGCACTGTAAATCGATAGTAATGAATTCATCCAAAGAGAATGGAAAGAATGAAACTTTTAAAAATTCTCAATTTAAAATATATATATTTTTTTTAAATGCTTAAATGCCTTTTAAAATGCATAAATTGAATGATATTAACAACTCGAAAGAGCAAACGAGAGAGACAGAGAGAAAGCGTCAAGGATCAGTAAAATTTTAAACCTTCCGTACCTAAAAGCATTAAATATTTATTATTTTAAATAAATTAATTAAAATATTTAAAAGTTAAATATTCAAAAAAAAATTACTTAATTTATTAAAAAATTGTAAAAAGTATTTAAAATGAGTAAACACTCAAATTAAACGAAAATAATTTAATGTTAATTATTCAAATATAGATAATGAGACTAAAGAACTATAGGTGAAATTTAGTTAACAAATACAGCAAACTACAATAATTAATCGAAAAAATCGCAACATTATATATACATATTATAGTTAAAAAAAATTACACGATTTAGTATAGCATAATGTATCCTTTCTGGATTTTTAATGCATTCTTTCAATTTCAATGAATATAATTTCAATTTCTTCTATTATTAATTATCGCCATTAGCATAATTGCATTATTTTTAAATAAAATCTAATACAACTATTATAATTTCTTAAGATTTATATTTGCTAAATATTCTTTTAAGCCAAATAAGAGTTAATTATGAAAACTTCGAAACAATAATTAATAATAATTACTTAAATGTAACGAAAACAAAACTTAACACGCGTACAGATTTGATTTTTTACAAATCTTTTTGTTGTTATTTTGTATATAATATATTTTCATTATATGATTTCTTAGAAATGCTTACAAATTCCTTATACATTTGCATGTATGTGTATTATTTAGTATTGTTTTAAATATAATTTAATTTAAAATTTATTATGTCGTTTTCCTTAAAGCATTTTATACTTTTACATATTCTCAATGTTCGTTGTTTAATTAAAAAAAAAAATTTTATATTCTATTTTTTAATTTATGTGTAAATTATTAAAATTTTAATTTTAACGAATTTTTAGTTATATATATTTTTATGTTATTACTAAGTTTATTTAGTTTTTAATTATATAAAAGTTTTGTGGTTGTCTAAACAGAAACAGAGAATTGAGACGTTTTAACGGGATATGTGATCGATATTAATTTTAAAAAATATTTTAAGTTAAAATATATTGTATTAATAAACAATAATTTAAACTAATTATATACAATAAATGTATTACGAAAAACTTAAATGTGTTAATTAAAGAAATTAAAACGATATACTAAAATTTGGATAATTTTTATTTTTTTAAAATTTGTCTTTAAATCAGTGTTACTCCACTTTTTTTGTGGTACTTTCGTGGGCATTAATACTAACGGTTTCAAAATAGATGAAAGTGTCAGCAGTGATATGTTGTCCTAAAAATTGGGTGTCTTAGCACTTCGCTTCAACTATCGAACCGTTGCAATAACTTTCAGGCAGAAATAAAAGTGATTCCCTACGCAACAAAATGGATTCTATACAACAAGATTTCCGATATAAAGGTCAATATATTCTCGAACAGCCAAGCTGCTAAACGCTAAAGCTATTTTTTTAATAGTTCAAGAATGCCTGGTTTCTTTAAACGAGTTAGACATTTCGGGTAACTGCAGAGTGAACGACCTTAATAAGGTACGAACTCTGCTTCCTAACATTCATTTCTTAAATATTGGGATCCCATTTGAAACAGCTAAGCAGATAAAATTCTCTTAAAAATATAGGAGTATAGCCTTTGAAAGAAAAAAATGACTGACAGATCTTAAGATCAACCAAGTCCAAACTGCAAAAGAAACGTACCACTGCGTATTCAGAACATATATGACGAGATTAGATCCACCCTACCCTATAAAGACACTTGTCGCGGTTGAGGTTCTGTATTTCATTACATGTTTCAAGTTTCCATCATTGGCTAGACCAAGATTCAACATTTTCGGAGCCCCTTTCCTTACTGATCTGACAGAACTGTTATCTTACGAAATTAAGTAATTGGCCAGTTTATACATTTATCAGTTTGGTTAATTTTTACTTGAATGAAGAAGTGTCTTTCAGTATTCTTCGTTTGTTGATCATTAGTCTGCGTATTAGCAATGCTAATTGCTGGTAATACGACAGGCACAATCAAAAGTTACTCTCTGGGGTCACCTTGAGAAAAATTATTTTAAGTTAACTGTCTTTAAACAAATACAATAGATTTTCAGAGTGGACAAATCTACCTGTAGAAGTCACATTTCAGACTTATCGTGAAAGAATAACGTATCGCTTCATCAATATTAAAAGAACAACAATAATATCGTTATCTTATAGAGGTTGTATGAGAGCGAAAGTTTGTTTTTGTGTTCTAAATTTCTAAGTTTTAATTAGTTCATATCTGTTTATAAGTAGCAAGCTTTACGTGAGAAGTGTTGTCATATTTATATCTAAATCACTTTATCAAAATGAAATTACATTAGGTACTTAGTGAGCTACGTCTTTTTGCAGGACAGGATCCCATTATCCAACTGGTTGTTTTTACAGAAAACAACTGTAAGAAGCCACTTTTTACGAGAGCTTGATACTTCATTGCTTAAGCTATACATTATATACAAAATACAATATATTATATACAATATATTAAGCAGCTCGAAGTGATACACAAAAATTAAATGCACTTTCGCCTTTGCTGGCTAGTATATCTTCAATGTTTTTTTTTTGCTTTGTGAAGCACTTATATTCTAAAAATATATTCTAAAAAGAGTCATATGCTGTGTTTGTATTTTTCTATTTTTCCGATTATTCATATTTTTATTAATTTTCAATCAGTTTGATTAGTTTGTTTAAGTAATATTGAAAATTATAACATTAAAACATTGAAATCTAAAAAATTTTTTATAATAATTTATTTAAATCATAAAATATATATAAATCAATTAATAATGAATTAAAAATTAATTTTCATTAGTTAATTATTTATCAGATAATTAAATTCTGTATATCGCTCTTAAAACTTCATTTTCTCGATTTTATTGAATCTATTGTGAATATCTACTGTCAACTGTGAGTCGAAACAGTATTTAATCGAGTCTCGCTTATGTTAGAGCGCTGACAGTTGAATTTACAAAAATATTGACCGGTTTCGAAGCATATTGGTTGTTTGATTTGTATTAATAATTTTATTAAGTTCTTATAGAGAAAAGAAAAAGTATTAGCTTAGTATAAATTAGTTAAATATGCAGCATCCACGTCGCACTTCGGAGTTTCAAGATGTCGATAGTAGAATTTCAAGGTATTTTTTTTTCTAATTGCTACAATTATTTTTCTTATCACGAGGAAAAACTTTTAATTGAAATTTTGCAGGCAGAGCCAACGTGCAATGACGCTTACTCCAAGCACTGTCCAAAAACTGCCACTTAGGTAAATTAAATCAAACGATAAATTAATTTATAACACTTGACTGTTTTATTTATTTTAGGCAAAGTCGATTACCAAGACAAACGCCGACACCAATTAAAACGCAAAAATCCACCACAAATCCGTCTGTTAAAATTGTTAAAAATTGAAAGTAACAAAAATAATAATATTTTTTACAGGCCAACCCGTTTACCTACGCGTCCTTCTTCCAATGATCGTGCAACAACATCGTCGCGTGGTGTTACTCCTCAAAAATCTGCTACTCCATTGGCAAAGTCAGCTGCAACTTATACTGCTGAAAAACAGCGTACTGGCACCGGTTCCATGCACAACGACAAAAAATGGGTACAAGAACAAACGCAACGCATTACCGATTACTTGCGGGAGGCGGCTGCTAAAAACAGCATACCAGGCATTACCGCAGAATTTTTTACGCGTAGTGGTTTACGTCAAATGTCCATTAAGCAGTTTGTAGCTATATTTAATCATTTTTTGCATTTTATATCGGGTAATCGCTTTACTGTTGGTTCGAATCATGTCGAGGACATAACAAACATTTTACAAAAAATAAATTATCCCCACGCGGTATCAAAATCCTGGTTGAAAACACCAAACACACAACACTCTTTTGGTTACGTGATAGTACTTTTCGATTATATGATGGATTTTGCGCCAGTCGCAAATGAAGACGAGTTTGAGTTCGAATTCGAATTTGAAGATCCAAAAGATTATGTTAGTGCTGAAACGGAAACCGATCGCTATAAAATGCCTGATGCCGAATTTCAATCAATTTTACTTAAACATGCTGAGCAAAGCTTCAAGCTATGGGATAAAAATCTAACGGATGAATATAATAGTTTGAAGAAGCAAACAAGTGATTTGTTAATACAAAAAAAATGCAATCTTCCAGATAAAGCAGCGCTTGAGTGTGAAGTCGAGAACTTAAAAAAAGATCAAGCAAAATTGGAAGATCAACGTGTGGTAGTACCAGAGTCTGAAGAAAATAAATATGAAGAGTTAGAGCGCGCACTGAGTGCTATATTGGACGAACAAGAAACTATAAGCCAGGAAACTGAGGAAAGTAGTTTAGTAATAAAGCAGTTGGAAACGAAAAAAATTGATATTGAGAATGAAATTGCACAACTAAAAGGCGAAATTGGTGAGTTGGGCACTGCAATACGTGCACAAACTTGCACTGTCGATGAACGTAATAACTTATTAGAAAAATTAGAGCAATGTAAACATGTTCTGAAGACTAAGGATCGTGAGATGAATGAACTTGAAAATTACAATCATCAACAACAAGTTTTGCATATAGGTGCGAAGGCACAGTTAACGAAAAAGGTAATATATGTTTTATAAAAAATTTATTACTTATAGTCATCATCTACATTAATTTAGAAATTATTATTATACTTAATAGAACTAATACGGCCCACAATTGTGACAAAATTTCTCAAAAGTTTGAAATTGAACTAGTTGAGCGAAATGCTGCACTAAAGATCTTTTAGGTCGCAGTTCACGCATAGCGAAACCGCTATGTTACGTATAAATAAATCTTTCCCCAGAAATGTAGCCTAATTTCAACTCTACTTTTCCTGACCATACATATGAGATGTATTGATTAATAGCAAAAATTCTTTACATAAATTTACCTATATATGCCTTTACTTCAATTTAACATCACTTCACTATGCTTACCCTATTTCATTTTGTAATTTTTATCATCCACATAATGCTTGAATTTTTCAGGTCAACAAAAACATATACTGGTATTATCCCTGCCAGTAGTGATGATCCACCCATACGCTAATATCTTCACCATAACATACAATCCATATTCTTACTTCCCCCTACATTCCATCGTAATCCATATAATTCTTTCATGCAGTGAAGACCTATACCTCAGCACAAATATGATTTTTCAAAACTGTATTTAAATTGATTCTATTACTAAATATTTGTTTTCATTTAAGATTGAGTCTATCAACTCGCAAATACGTGAGCTATCCTATTCACAAATAGGATCAGATATTGAATCATATGAAATACCCGTAAATCCAGACAGTGAAGATTTGAAAAATGCTATACCAATCCTGAAAACAATACGTGAGCAGTTAAGACAGAAGAGTGATGAAAACGAGAAAGCACTGAAGCAATATGAAGATAAAATATTGCAAATTAGTAATGAAATCGATGAAGTGCTCTTACCCAAAAGCAGATCCATAAGCCATACACTTACGACCGCACAGAAAACTTTAGCGAGTGTTGAAGAACAAACGGAGAATATGCGTAAAGCATACGAAAGCAAAGCAGATATTTTGCTTGCAAATATAAAGGAGTTGGATGATTTTATTTTGACTTATGAGAAAATTGTAATCGAGAAGAAGGAAGAAGTGCAACAACTGAAAGAACAAAACGAAAAGTTTATGTCTGAAGTAGAGGAGAAGTACCACGCATTGGCCGATGCGCGCGAAGACTACCTAACCAAATATGACCAGACTTTGAATGTAGCCAAAGAAAAGCTGGTGGAAGTGAGAACAGTTGTTGACGAGACGGATCAAGTTTTGGCCAATTTAAAATTGAATACAAATTAAGCGTAAACAGTTTTTATTAGTTTTTAATCTTTAAATGCATTTTAAATAATTTTTATTTATTTATTTAATTTAAACACATGCAAATGTACACTACAATTATTTTTAAAATGAATTATGAGAAAAGTAAATTGTTATTTTCTTCACATTTAACAAAACGTTGTTTTTTTCTTCTTTATTATTATTGCCGCTTATTTTATTTAATGTTAATGAATGTTTTTGGTTTGGTTTAAGTATTTGAATTGCACTTTTATTTAATAGTTTGTGTGTTTAACTTGAAAAGATTTAAAAATTAATTTCATACTATAATGTTTAATTTTGGGTAAAACATTTCCGTACATGTATTTTAAAATCTATTGAATGTGTTGTTTATAGAGATCAAAGCAGTTAAATTAATATTTTAATTTAATTTGGGTTTGCTTTTAAAATATAAACCACTTACGTTAACATAATAATAAATAATTTAAATAAACAATTTGGCCAATTATGCACGGGTGCATTTAATATGTAATAAATAAATAGAATTATGTAGTATGTATATGTAAACTTAATTGTAAAATTTGTTTTTGTAATTTATGCACTCCAAATGTATAGCAATTTCAATATATCAAGCCTTATATCAAGAATTGATATCATTTGTGGTTTACACAATAAATATTTCGCCATTGCTACGTTGTGGCTCCTCATGAGATGCATTGGCATCGCATCTTGGTATTACTTGAGCCGTTGTAAGTGTGCGTTTGTCAAGCATTTCAGCTTCCTTTCCAATCTCAACGATGCCCTGCTGCTGAGTCTGTGTCTGTAAGGCTGCTTCTTCAGCTTCAGATGGTGGCTTATTTTCTTCTGTTCTTATTATATTTTCATCCTCTTCTAATTCCTCTGCACTATCTATTAGTTTCTCACTACCCGCAGTAGAGGAACTGCAATTGCCATTAGTTGAGCATAATTTTGTTTCGTCCAAATGTATATTGACAGCCACCTCTATTTCTTCCTCATTGTCGTTCTTACTATTTTGGAATGTAACTGAGATTTCTTGTGTTTGTTGACTTGTAGCACTAATTGTTGCATTATCATTATTTATTGGAGATGTGCTCTGCGCTGGAGCAGTTGTTATAGAGGACCACCAGTTTGAGAATGCGCCTTTGGCCTGTGAAATGGCGCCGCCTGTAAGTTGTTAAAGAATTGTTTAATTAGTTTTTTAAAACTATTTAGTTTTTATTTCATTAACACACACACACAACTTCATTTTTATTGGGTGCAAACAAACGTTTGATTCCAATTGGTACTGCAATTGGTAATATAATATCAGGATCATTGCTTTATTCAGAAGTTAATTAAGGCGGGTTACGATTAGGTTACACATATATATATGTAAATTAAGAAAATATCAAATGAAAAAATATAAAATCAGATAACTAATCACGTCATTTGCAGATCATATAGTTAACATGGCAAAATAACCGGTCTAGTACAGCCGGGGGGAAACACACTCAATACTATTTATACTCCAAAGATAGAGTGTTACCTACTGGATTTTAGACGCTTCTTACGACAGGCATACCTTACCTAGGGAATATTCGAATCTATTTACCCCTTTTCCACGTAAGTAATCATTTAATAATCTTAATGTATATATACTTGCCTACAGCACGGCTTGTAGTATTGACGGCTTGATTAATTTTGCGACCACTTTCGCTGTTCTGCATAGTTCTAAAAAAAAGAATTTCTTTATACTTGCTGAGAAAAGTCTATACCTTAAGCATACTGTGCAATTTTTAATTTCATATCGGCCACCGATAATGTACCCGCAAATGGATGACCGGCTGGCAGATTTTCAAAAAATTCTGGTTCAGGTCGTACATCATACCACTCTTGAAAACATTGTGTCCTCTTAAAAGCATGCATGAAATGTGCATTGAAATTGTCATTATCCTTAGGCGTTGCATCTGAAAGGAAAAGGAAATTGTATGATAAATATTGTAATTTTCGAATACCAAATGCGCCGCTACAAACCACTGGCAACAGCTGTGCGCAATAATGCCAATATATATCCCTGAAATTGTTCACGTATCCAGTTTTCGCTTCCTTCAGCATCTTCTTTAGGTGCATGAACGTGTTTTAATACAAAATCCATAAATCGCAAGTCCTCCGTATTTAACACAATTTGTCGCCTCAAATCCTGATCATGTATATCCATGCTACCATTCTCAATATCAATAAGCACATCAGCAAGTTGTCGTTTTTGTCTAAAGAGCACATTTGAAGTACCAATTACATAGCTAAGAACAGATGGATCTGATAAAAGATCCATATATGGCAACGAAAGATAAGGCAAGCAAAGATTTCCACTAGCAAATATTGAGATAGGTGCACGGTATTCATCCGGATTTATAGCAGACAATGTTGAAAGTGTAGCTATAAATAAGAAAAAGTTATGAAAATATTTAATATTGTCACTTAAAAATCTTAAAAAACTTACAAACTAAAGCATCTACACTTGACTCTCTAGTCAAGGAATTACTGCGATCATTACGTTTGCCCTGTATATCTGTATATTCTGTAGAGTCCAAACGATTAAGCTCTTTTGTTGATTGGGTTGTTGAATTTGATTGTGGTGTAGTATCACCACTGCCTGATTGACTCGCCGCTGATGCTGCTGAAGATATTAACGTACAAGTAAATTCATCCACTGCCTCTACACAACTATTTGTATCTGGTGATATTTTATTTCCATCATCAGATGGCAAATCTCCGATAACTTCGGTTTCTGTTTCATGCAAAGCAGCAGCTTCTCTCTGAATAGAATCAGTATAATCTGGCATTGGTGATAATGGACGAGATGTACGTACGCACGCTACTTCTTGAAAACCTTTCTCTAATAAACGTGGTATTAAAGAAGCGATACCCAGTATAAGAACGCACATGCCACGCACTGGAGAACCAAAACAAACAATGCGTCTTTGAAGAAGGAAAAGCTTAAATAATATCAGTGTTTTGTGCCTCCAATGCAAAACAATTTCACGTAATGATAATCCAACATGAAAATGCCGTAACGGACGTCGCGATTCATCATCCAGCAAGCAAGCATTCAATTGCTGATAAGCTTTCACCAACAAGTCGGTACACGAAAAATCGCCCTGATCGAAAAATGCATCCGCAATTAGTGACAATTTTACCTCGATATATCCATAAATGGGCAAACGCGTCAAAATACAAACTGATTTTTGTACAGTGCTGCGCGTTACATCTGCAGTGCGTATTTTCAATTTCTATGTGGGAAGACTATTTATTACTAAGGACAGTTGAGTGGTTTCCTTTACATACCTCTACTGGAATTTGACGATAGCATGAAATTCCATAAACGCTTTCGGTTGGTTCCATTAAGCTAGGCAAGTTAAAAAATACAGTATCTTCAACAAAATTATGTGAGCCATCAGGCAATGCCAATGTAGGTAAATATTTCCAACCGGATGGGCACTCATTCTTACCCGTTGAACCGGGTATTAATGGTGGATGTGAAAATTCAACCTAGTATATATTAAAGTTTAGATTTTGATACAGTTCAACAGTATAAAAACAAACCTGGCAACCAAGTTTGTGGTGAAACCCTACTACCAATATATGCAGCACTGGCTTGCTTTCCGGTGTACTCATTTTTTCCTTATAAATAAAAATTCACTGTCCGACTCTTAATGTGTCACAATTGGCGACTTCAAGTCGCGACCTCTGTATGCAGTCTCAATAATTGCGGTATGATATGGGAACTAATTACAAAATGTACACCCTACCTCTTCTACCTGATCTTCTATGAATCGGATGACATTTATAACACACACTTTTGTTATTTCAGTTATTACATTTAATATTATTCTATTATCGACTGATTTTTCGTCAATAAATCATTTACAATTTACACATAATAATTTGAAATTATTTATTGTGTTTTGGTTCGACGACTTGATTGATACGTCGTAAGAAAAACACTTGCAAAATTTTTGCAGCTGTGGTTGGGTATCAATGTAAATAATCAGCATTGCCAACAAAGAAAAAAATTCAGTATTACAAAACTGATAAAAGATTTTAAAACAACAATTTTTTTTTGCTTATTATATCCACTAACGAGGATAATATACTGTACAAAATGCTTTCATGTAAATGAGCTCATTATCAATAAATTAGCTCACTTAAGGCAGAAAATGTGGAATACAACCCTTAAAAATAAATTTCTCAGAAGGGAAATTACCAAAATATGATATATGTGTCATATATTTTATATGTAAAATGTAAACAAATAACAGCTGAGCTGTAAACAAAGGCACTGAAGAATTGAGTAATTAACAAAATCCTTGTTTTTATTAATCCAATATGTAATTGATATATGAAATATATATAAATGATTCAATATATCAATTATTTGCATTTAATTTTTGTGGATGATATATTATTAAGTGAAGAGAACTTCAGCAGCGTAAATCATGTAATCAAATATAAATGAGCAAGTGTCTAAATGAGATAGTGTTACATTCACACACTATACATTATAAATTTTAATTTTTAACTAACACATATTAATTTTTTAGTATTATGAAGTATTTATACTTAATAAAATATTAATAAAAAAGTATAACATAAAATTATATTATGTTTATAAACTATGTAATTGTTCTCAATAAAAAACTAATAAACTTAATTGCACTTTGTTTTTATCTTTTTTTTAATTTTCTTCAATTAGTTGATTGAAATTTTAATTTTAAAACAATAAATTATTGTACTAATATAAAATGATAATATATCTATACATCACTAATTTTTTTGTAATATAATATTTTTAAAATATTTTTTTTGTATGCTTTCTTCCTCGATTTTGTTCTTGTTTCTAAATTTTAGAAATAAATAAATATACTACTGATAAAATATCAAGAAAAGCTGTTGAACATCGAGTAAAAATAAATTATTTATTTATTATAAAAATATAATTATTAAAACAACGACCTTAAATTCCATATTTCTAAAAATATCTCAAAATTTACATTCAAATTATTATATGGCAAAAAAGACAGAAAGACTCACTCGTTGCAATACATCTCTGCGTTTAAAACAAGTTTAATTTTAAAAAATAATGGGATTTTATACAAACCGGTAAGGTAATTTAATTTGACATTTGTCTTATTTAGTTTAAATATTTATTTATTGTCTTTGCAGTATTGTTTAAATGTCTGTATTTATAATGGATGATATATTGAAATGGATAAAGTTTCAGCAAACTATTATTAATTTCTGTTATGTTTTCCAATTAGTACCTTTACCGCTATATGTGGTTAATTTTATTAAATTATAAGAAACTGCAGAAATACAAGAACTGGGAAGCGGGATTACAAGATTTGATTGCAAAAGCAAAAGATATATATTATATATATGATATATATAATATAGTATATGATATATGTAAAATAATATATGATACATATAATATAATATGTGATATATATAATGTAATATATGTTATATATAATATATCGTATACTAAAATATGCTTTTAATGTAGTTTGTTTAAGGTTTTGAATTGATAGTATTAGAAATTGTAAATAAAATGTGTGATTAAATTGACCAAATTTATTTTTAACACAATTAAAAGTCCATGAATTGTGCATGGAACGAACCAGTTCTTTTTTCTCTTCGCTTCTGATATTACCTCCGACACACTTTAACGGTCTGCATTGACTAAGCCAATGGTAATTGCAGTGACCTTTAAGTTTATGGTCTCAAAGAGTATTTTATTTTCTGTTGATTTAATTAAAATATAAATACTCCCTTTAACCACATACTTATTCATTTATATCACATACCACATAACCTACCTCCACCATTTTTAATACATCGTAACCCGAATATTCGTTTGATTATATAGTCATATTTCCTGCTTTGTCTTCAGTATTCGGGAACTACAATATTGAATACTTTCTTCAGTGTTGAGGAAAGTGTTCACATATTTCAGTCTTAGTCAACTGTATTATCTCCTCTTAAGGTATACTTTATGTTTCCTTTAAGATTTACGATAGTTTTCAACTCACCTAGGTTAAATATGCCCGATGATATCTGATTCTGTCACAAAACCTCTATTATAAGAGCTTTTTAGATGTCATAAACGGTTTCAATTGGTTTTAAACTAGCATCGGTTAAATATGCTTCTATTTTAAAAGTTTTTCAAGTCAGCTGCAAGATGTACAATTAAGAAATATCTATGCTTTCATTAAATTATCAGAACGGTTTAAAATCCTCTAACTTTTATGATGACCCATTGAAATATATAGATTATAATATCTAATATTTTCGTAATAATTCAAGAATACTAATGGCGTATTGGCGTAAGTGAATCATAATATCTAATATCTTCGTAATAATCCATTGAATATATCTAATATCTTCGTAATAATCCATTGAATATATCTAATATCTTCGTAATAATCCATTGAATACTAATGGCCCATTGGCATGAGTGGGTCAGTATATTTAATATATAATTCTCGTAATAACCGTTTTATAACTAATCTATAATAAATTAAGAATCCAGATATTTTATATTTTTAAATATTTATTCCATTTATTCTTTTTAAGACAATAACAATAATTTCTTTTTTCTTTTTATGTTTTTATGTTTTTTAGAAGAATTTTTTCGTATGAAGTTTCAGAAAATATTAAAATTTTTTTCCTTATTTATTTAGTACACACCAAAAAATATTTATTTTTATTTAATCTTTCTTTTTGTTTGTTTATGTTTTGTTTAACAATCTCTTTTATGTTTTAAACTTAGTTTTTGCTACAAAGTGTTTTTTGTTTGTTTTACAAAATATTTTATTTTTTGCTTTTATGCTTTTATGTATAAATTTCACATATTTTTGCTATAAGTTTTAAGTTTAAAAACATTAAAGTACAAATTTTAATTTTAAGAACTTTAATTTCAATTTTCTTTGGATTTTTCTCAAAGTATTTTTTGTTTTTTAAATATTTATTTATTAAATAAATTTTACTCATTGAGTAGAATATTTTTGCTTAATTAATTTAACTAAATATTTTTGTTTTTTGTTTTTAATTTTTTTTTTTTGTTAATTTAATTATTTGTATTTTTACTTTTTGAAGATGGCTTAAGTTTTCACATCAACATCACAAATATTGAGTTTAAAAATATTTTAAAATTTTCGTTGATACTTTTTATGCAAAGTTTTTATATTTAAATTTTACAAATAATTTGTTATTTTTATTTATTAATATTTTTTACAATTAAATTACAAAACTGTTTACAACGCTACTTTGAGCTAACGTTACGGTTTCACTTTTGACTCTTCTGCTTTGCTGCTTTCCATACAAAAAATTTTAATAAATATATTTTCGCTTCAATAAAATTGCGAAAATTGTTTCATTCGCCCAATTTTAGTTTATTTAAAATTGCTAACTAATTTTTAAATTTTGTGATATTCATTCGAACCTTTTGCGCTTAAAATACACAAACTCTTGTTTCCCAACGATTTTAATATAATTATTATTTATTACAAAAATAATTAAAATTCCAATAAAATTATTGTTAATGTTTAAAACATTAAAAAAAATTGATTTTGCTTTATTTAAATATTTTTAAATTTTATAATTTTGTTATGTATCAGCACATTTTTTTTACAAATTTAACTAGAAATAATTTTATATAAACAAAGTAAGCAAAATATTTTTATATTTATATTTTGAAGCTTAAAACATTTAACTTAATTGTATTTTATTTTTTTACAAAAATTTGCTTAATTTTAAAAATTGCACACTTAAAATAATTTGTTATGCTAAAGTTTAAAAATTAAAAAAATTATTTTACAACATAGTTTTTTAATTTTAAATTTGCATTTTTTTCTTTGTTTTGCAATTGAGTGTTTATGATTTTAAATGGTTGTTACAAATTTTATGTAAAAGTCGCCTTAGTTGCTCAACAAATAATTTAAATATAATATATACTTAAATATATGTATATATGTATGTTCAATATTAATTTACAAAATATAAATTTGTTAAATGCCTAACTCATAATTTACTCTCAAAACGTACTCATCTCTATTACAACTAAACTATACATACATACATACATATATACATAGAAGAAGCAATAGAAAAATAGAAATTTATAATTTAAATTTTAATTTCTATACATTTAATCATAAATAATATAAATAACAAAGAGTCTGTAATAGTTATTAATTAATTAATATTAATATATGTAAACAAACATGAAATGTTAATTTTTTGGTTAAGCGTAAATAAATTATTTACTTACGCTTATGTCATCATTATTATACAAAAATTATGCTATTAACTATATAAACAAATAAAATATACAATTTCAATGTAATATTTTATGTATTTATTTTATTTGAGCGAATTCATACAATCATTTCACCTAAATAAATAAATGAAAATCAAATTTTTTGATGAAGTCTCCACAAGTGTAGACTTTGGTTGTGTGAATGTATGAATGCCGCTGTTCTAACATTGAAATACAATAACGAAATTTAGTTTTTTTTACTTTAAATTAATTTATTTTGTATTACGAGTTCAAAATTATTTCAAGCATCATTTAACGTGTCTCCACACGACACGAATCTACAAATTTTCACACACAGATGTACAAGTCAGGGCTTGAATTAATATTTGTCAAAGTCTCCAACATGAAATTGATATTTTTTTAAAATTTTTTTATTTTGTTTATAATTCTGTACTATAACGTAAGTTTTAAATTTTTTTGTTTTTTTTTTTTTTGTAAAATTCAAAAAATTAAGTAATTCAGACAAAAATTATAGAATTTCGTCTAATCAGGTTCACAATGTTTAGTAGGCGCAACTGTTCTAGCCGTTGCGAACACCGCAACAACTTTAATTTGCTTGTTTTTGTTGTAGTTGTTGTAGTTGTGTTCGCTTTTATTGAGTTTCACATTACTTTCCATGTTCCCGAACACTTTAAGTGTATGTACACAATTATCATCATCGTCAACATCATCATTATCATCATTAAGTTCCGCCTCGTTCGTTTCTTGTCTTTCTCAATCATTCTTCGACTGACAATACAGCTCTTTAAGCGATTTTAATTCCTCTATAAGCGCTTTGTTTTGGTTTTCTAGCACCGCGACCCGATTTTCCAGGCACTTTATGTACTCCTTCTTCTTGCGACGACATTCACGTGCCGCTTCACGATTCTTCTGCAATCTTATCTCACGTTTCCGGGTTTGATCTTCGGCTATGCCGCTGTTATCTGATAGTAAGGAAGAGAAAGGATGAGAAAAAGAAGAATTATTAGTTTAGTTTTATGTTATAAAATTATTTATTTTATAAATAAAATTGTTTATTTACTAGCATTATATGCCATCCTATTATTAGGTAAATAAAATTGTGGCGCACTGTCCTGCTGCAAGTGCATAAGTGAACCGCTCGTACTGCCCCCCGCGCTCGCCATCGCATGTAATGCACTACTCTCTGACATTTGTAACGCCGATCCACCTTCACTCACATCACACATCACACATTGTGGAACCAACCAACCAACCGATTGATCAGATCAGATCAAGTAGCAAATTTGTTGTTGTTTTTTTTTGTTTTTTTTTTTTAATTTAGTTGTTTGCAGTTTGGAAATTATTGTTTTTTTTATTATTATTAATATACATAATATTTTGGAGGTATGCACGAATTAGAAGAGTAGTAGATTTGTTGTTTCATGTTGGATTTTGGTAGAGGTAAAAAATTTCGATTGAAAAAAAAAAAAAACAAAATATATATAAAAGTTTGTTAGAACTTTTTTTATTTTGAAAATAATACTTTTTAAGCTTATTGTTTTATTATTTTATGTTAGTGCGATTTGAATATTTCATTAAAGTTGTTCTTATATTCAATTAAGTGAAATGCAACATTTATTAAAATGACAACAACAAATTTGGTTAATTCACAAAGCGTTCTGAGAGCAACACACAGAGAGTGAGAGAGTTACAGAGAAAGAGCGATAGTGTGTGGATAGCGAGCGAGGCGAGCGTAGGATAATGCTTTTACGTACATTCATATAAATAAAGTTATACACAGTGTTTAGTGTTCGGATATGTACGAGTGTAAATGGCTACATGATGTATGGAACTTAGAGGTGTGATTTAGACCTATGCAATATTTAAAAAATATAAAAAAATAATAATAAAAGAGAAGAATGGATAATTCTTTATCTCAAACTGAAATAAATTTATACGCCTCTAACTGAATTAATATAATCTAAAGTAGTATATCCATATACTGAAAACTTAGGTTTTAAAATTTGTATTGTTTTTCTTCCTCAAGTGATATCTAAACCTAGTAATAAGTTATTGAAAGTTTAAAAATTTACGACGAAATTTATTTTATAACCACACAAATCTATAAACTTAGACCACAATATATATATTCATTTGTATTATATGTTAATATTTATATATTTTATTATAATATATATTTATATTAACATATAAGAACTCCTTAAGCATATCCTTTGTAAAGTTAACAAAGTTATATTGAAATTAAAGTCTATATGCATACAACTTGGTCTATTAGAAATTGTAGCACGGGATATACTGGACTTTTAAATAAAAACAGTTGTATAGTGAGGAGAATAATGAAGGTAACTGCTTCATAATTTATATAAGTACAGTTTGATCTGTGAGAAGGTACTCGCATGTGGTTACACTGGGGATTTAAATGAAAACACTATAGAGATGTATAGTATAGAGATGAGGATACTTTATTTCTATATAACTAAACAATGGTGGAATCATTTCCTTATAAGTATATAATCTATATAAGTTTATATAATTTTATCTGTTATAAGCTACTGGAATACGTTATTCTGAGGAATTTATACCAAAAGAGTATCATATTCTGAAGAGGAGGCATTCTTAATTATTTTTATAAAAATATTAAACATTTGGTCTATTAGAAGTTACTAGCCAGTGATATATTAGTTAATTAAATCAAAATAGTGGCATAGTCAGAAGAGTATTGGAAGCTAAATTTTTAAAATTCTTTAGTATTTCGGAGAAATTGTGTTCTATACTCTCGTTCATTGCGGAAAGTTTGATTATATCTTCAATTCTGAGTACTAAAAAAAATAATATAATATAGCAATAAGATTTAATTTATGCTATAATAGTTTTTAAACTGGTGATGAGGTACAATTGGTACTTTTGAAAGTGCATAAATTTGTCATTAAAAGTCTCGGGCATATTACTTAGTTTTATTCCTATTTTATCATTTATTTTCTTGTAAAGAAATTGTGTAGAATTAATTTCAGTACTAATTCTAAGACTAGGTTCTAAGACAAGGGTATATAACGTACAAATTTGAGATATAAGTCTCGTTCAAAATTTAAGTGGGAAACTACAGGATAACAGAACAAAAATGGTAAAGGAGTGAAGAGCTGGCAGTCAATCCTAATTTTAGTGCTAATCTAGGCTTAGATACATTATCAAGTCTACACAATAAAGTTGAATTTTGGACTTAAGTTACATTTTTAATAGACTTAAAATATAACGCAAAAATGTGGTATACATTTAGAAATCGGTTATATACTAAATTTTTTAATTAAGGACAATAGTTCTTTAATTGATTGAAATTCAATGATATGTTAAATTGACAGTCAATTCTCATCCTAAGGACATGTGTTTCTTTAAATCTGTTAATAGGGATTGATGGGAAATTAGAAACAATATAAAGTGATAGCTCTCTTAATTAGACTTGTCAGCCAAAGAGCTAGTCACATTAAAAATGAAACCCTTTTATTTGACCAAAGAATGACAAAAACAAGTTTGTTTTAGAAAACATATCAAAGAGGGGTGACCGTTTAATAGAAGTGTTCGTTAAAACAGTTTTTACTGTAGTAATATTACCATAGAAAAATAATCTTGGTATAAATAGACGCTTATAAACAATATTGATATATTAATAAATGTCGAGGTAGGCATGCAAAATTTTAGATGTCCACAAAGTATTAGAGTTTTAATATAAGTATGCTCGAAATTAACATTTAATTAATTTTTTTTTACTTTGGTTATAATGAAATTAAACTATAGCTAATAGTTTACTTCAGCGAAGTAAATATCTATATCTAGCAATATTTGAGAGTGACGAGTAATGAAAGAAAATAAATTCGACCGTATTTAACTAAGATTTTGAGAGACGTGTAATTCTGATGCCAGTATCCAGCCTAATAATGAAGTGATCTGTTGTAAAATATATTTTAAGAATGCAGATAAAACTAAAACAGTGGATCATTTGATAACGCAATTGTTAAATTTAGAACAGAACAAATGTATATATTATTTACACATTTGTTATTTAATACAATGTTAAATATGAATAGAAATGTACATAAGAATGAATCCAAAAACAGTATGGGAATGTCAAAAGCAAATGCTTACAATTATGAGAATGAAGCGGTGGCGATGCAAACATTGATGATAAGGATGAGATGTGATAGCTGATAGTGACGATGATGAAGAGACTACTATAGTTGATATGAATGAAGGTTGATATACAAAAAATTTGGTGTATGGCGGAGCACATATGTGTATTCGTGTATGTGTAATGTTTACATTAATGTGTAAACTAAGACGTTTCGTGTTTTAATTGCAATAGTTAAATTAAAACAATTTATTTTGCAAAGTATTTATTATTCTAAGATGCACAGTAGATGAGATACAGCGTTTCGCAGCAACAATTTATACAACAACGAAATATATGTGTAGACACGAGAATAAATAAATTTATTGTTTTTATTTATTTTAGAATTAATGCAAAGATAAATGTAATATAAAAATGAATATATTTATATATATATGTATATATAAATATAAGTTGCTATGTGAACAAATATATATATATTGCTTTAGTTTTTAATGACAAATTATATATAAATAAAATTATTATTTACCTGATATATCGGGTCCACTGATTTCAGTAAATATTTTATGGTACGATGGCCTTCTTGTGAGTTCTCTGTGTCGTCGAGGTGAGTCTTCATCCGTTAGACTGTCCTCACTATTTGAATCGAGGTGGTGTGTGTTCGGTTCTGGTTTAATCTTACATAGAAAATTTGGGGGGAGCTATTATATTTTTGGTATTTTTGTTTGTTTTAAGATATGAAAACATAAAATTAATTTTGAAGTAATATTAGTAACCAATAAAATTTAATTACAAGTAATTATATAGAGAAATATACAATAAAACTGAAAGATTTTTAAGTATTAATAATTTATTATACCATTTTAAAAGGTGTTTATTTTATTATGTTTTATTTGTTATTGCAACAGCAATAAGAAAAAAATATGTTATAGATATGTATGTAAGCCTATGGTTTTCGTTTTTGTTGTGAAGTATGATTTCCACTTGGTTGTTTGAAGAGATGAGTGGCTTATTAACTTTTTGTAGTATCTTGCCAACCTTTTGTAGTATCTTGTCAACCTTTTGTAGTATCTTGTCAACCTTTTGTGTACTTGCTTTCAAGTCGGGTGACTAACAAGATATAAGATATAACAACAAGAACGGGTGACTATATAAAGATGTGGCGAGCCTGGAACTAGGTCTGATTTATTATTGGTAGATGCAGCAGGGCGTGAATACCGAAGTCACTTGTCCAAATATGCTTTCTGAGAATAACTATTGTCATGGAGTCACCATGACAAATATAAAAAACAACCCGATCCTTTATTGAAAAATAAGCACTATAATTCCAACACATAACAATCCCTATTAGTTGTGAAAGTGCGCTAAGAGGGTGCACAATTGAATGTATCATAATAGCTTCTCAGAATAGCTTCTGAGTGATTAAATTAAGTTATAAATATATTGACTCTATATAATAGCATTATATTTGATATAATTTAGTGAAGTATTTTATTATATTTAATGCCTATCTTAAGGTACAGGATCATTTTCCAACTTTAAAATTGGGAAAAATTTCCCAGAAATATAGTATATGTTTTTGAAATCATAGTGAGATAGTTGTTGATTTGTCAAAAGAGAGAAAGAAATGATATTATGTTGTATGTTATGTTATATATTATGTTATAAGATAATTATATTTTAAGATACTGCTTCTTGCTCAGTTGTACATTTACAAATATAAGACAACCCAATGCCGTCAGAAAAAAGTTAACTATTATAAAAATTAATAACTTGTTTAACAGAACAAGTGAATATCTGCATTAGTAAAAGATGTAGACTAAAGAAATCACACTACAAACGTAATAATTTTCTTCTAGTAAATCTTTAAACCAAATATATTCAAGCATATAATAACCGATGATGTCTCGCTTTGAAGTAAGTTATACATTTCAGTGACTCATCAGTAAGTATCGAAAGTAAGTTGCTGATTTAGAAAACTTTAACTAGTATGGATGTATGATATAGAATTGTAGGGCAATTTTTTACTGAGTTTAATATACAATTTATTAAAGAAATATTTGCAGAAATGCCAATCGATAATTGAAATAATTATAAAATTTAAATTGAGACGTAATCTATAAAAGTAAGTACCACTCTATTTACAGTAGCTTTAAAAACAAATATATTACTTAAGTTCTATCTGTAGTACTGATGATTATTGTTCATAATATTTTAAATTGGTGAACTGAGCTGTATTACAATATTAACGTCGCAAAACGTATAAAGAAATTACGTTAGTCATTACATGAGAAGAATAACCAAATATTCTGGTCAAAAAAAATTTCATATTTTTTACAATTGTGTAAAAATCACTGAAGATGTGGATCTATTACTTTAAGTTGGGAGTTTTAAGTACCTGTTCCAGTTCCATATATCTGACTAACATAAGAACAATTCAGAGATGTTTCGACACCCGGTTGTAACAGACAATTAAGTATATAAAAAAAAATATTTCTAGCTTTTCTATCTATAAATGTTTTTTCTATTATTAAAAATATTTTACTAAATTTTTTTTAAGATTTTATATAAAGTGATCATGTGTAAAATCGCCACTGTAAGAATGAAAACTACTTTTTAAGCATCCTACTACTATGAGAAGTTTTTATAAGATTATATCTAAAGTTATTTATATATTTTTTAGACAGCATATTTTACTAATAATATGAATATGCTATAATATAACTTACTTAATAACTACAGACTGATTGTCAAAACTATAATATATATTGTGTATCACTTGTTCGATCATACAAGTCAAGTCCGGGTTTCGGTCAGTTAGCTAATGGACGACTAACTGAGCTTTAAATTTAATAGGATACAAGTTCTATACTTGTTAGGTGCATTCTAACAAAATATTTACTAATAATTAATTATAAGAATATTTCCAAAAATAGTACCGATAATGGGTATTTGGTAATACTCAAAAAAGATTTATGGTCAAAAAACATTCAATTAATTAAAAATTTGAATTTTGTTGTTGTAATTTACTATTAAAAATAGTTTCTTCTAAGAAAATAGTGTCTTTTGTCGTAATTGACTTAAAAAATAGCTTCTAGATGCTAATATTTCCTACCCATGTTATCGTCTCGTATATCCTTTCATGTTATCTGCTTAGAAGTCCCAGCGGATTACAACAACAACCAGTTTGTTAAATTATTTACTTAATTAAATTTTTTCTATTAGACTACTGTGATCTTTAACAGTTTTCAATTTTATTATTTACTCGACGTTGCTTTGGTTTTTGTTTTTTTAGTTTTACTCTATAACAAATTTGTTTATAAAACAAATATCTATTATTATACATCCTTTAACTAAGAAACAAATCTTTCAGTTTTATTGCTAGAATTTCTAATATATTTCGAATGAGATATAGGAATGAGGGAATTTACCTGGACAGCATTTCCTGATGTGGTGTGTATTACCGTCGTGTTCGGTTTGCTAACAAAAACTACGTTTTTGGACATGGCGTTTGTGGTGGCGGCGGTTTGTATTACAGAGGATTGATTTGCTGCTTGTATCACCGACTATTTTTTTTTTTTTTGTGTTGTGAAATAAAAATAAGAGTTAATAGCGATATATATAATATGAGTATTATATTTATTTTTCTATTCTTACCTGCAGACCATGTGGTGGCAGATATTGTACCACATTTGATGTTGTGGTTAAAACTGACGATGATGGCGGTGGTGGTACATTAATTGTGGTGGAATTTGTTGAATTGTTGCTCTGTTGTTGTGCTGTTGATAAATTGTGTCCTTCGTCTACGTTATTGGAATTACCATTCTCTTCGACGATGCTGTCCATTTTTTTGATTTTCAACAGCACCGTTACGTCTTCCGACAATTGCTTCAGTTTGACAAATTTTATTGGCCACTCAAGTTATGCAAGAAAATATATAAATAAAATAAAATCAACCAAAATTTCTTCCTCCTTTGCACTTCAATTTATTTTTTTAAATTTTCTTTGCTTTTTTTGTTGTTTGCTTATTTGCAACAACAAAAAGCTGTTAGCAACTTTTGGCTTAATTCCTTGTGCAGGCGGCCAAAGGGGCGTTTGTATTAATTTATCCAGTTTGATATATTAACTGTAAAAAAATAAATAAAATATATAAAATAATTATGTACACATATATGTATACGTATATATATAATATAATTTATATTTATTTATTTAAAAATATAAAATTATTAAGAAGTATAATTAAAGCGGGAAATACTTTTTGTATTGACTTTGTTGTAGCCTCGCGCGCAACGTAATGCACATAAAATAGCTAAAATATTTAAAAAGCCAAACTAAATGATAAAACCACACCGAATATCACATAAAAGCGTTCATACTGGCGAATTGATAGTAGCGCTATAAATGAGTCATAGTCACCATCATCATTATAATCAGCGGCAAAGCTGACAACATCATTTTGAACGTAGCAGCGCCAGAGTCCGACCCACCAACAACAATAGCCACATTGCGATATCTGTTGAACAGAAACTGGCGAGTCGCGACTGCGACTACGACTGCGGCTACGATGTTACGATGTGAACGAACAGCCACGATAGCGACGACGACGAAACAACTTTTTGGATTAATAACGAAACTATCAAAATATTGCAATGCAAAATTACTTCGTCGTCATTATTAATACAGCGTGTTTATATATTTAAGTATACTTTGTTTCATATATACATATATATACATATACTATATAGAGCAAACATATATTTATGGTTATAATACCAGAACTGTAAGTACGGTTCATTTAGTGACAAAAGTATAAACTTATTTTCAACCTTAATCAAGTTTATAGTTAAATTATACTATAAAATAATTAAAATATCACAAAATACTATTTTAATTAATATTGTACTTGAATACAATTCATCTTTGAAAGCAACCCATACACATGAAACATCACTGGGTCCATAACAGTTCATACCGCGGACTACAATATAAAAGAAGCAATATGAAAAAATTGGAGTTCCATGCACATGAAGCATCACTGGGCCCATAACAAGTCATACCTGGGACTTCTATATAAAAGAAGCAATAGTTATTCAGTTATTCAATATAAATTTGTGGGAATTTCATATAAATAAAGTATCATTCTATCAAAATGAGTATCCTACGAGATCCGTAAATAAGTATGTTATACATATATGTATATATTTTATATAATTTTGAATTTATTTGTCGACCTGTTTTTTTAATAATTTTTTTTCCAGCTAGAGGTAGCTTTTTATTAGACAATTCAACGTTTGTTTAATATTTTTTAATATATTCTATATTTCGACTCTCCTTGCGAGTCATCATCAGAATCACGATCGATCTAACATAAATTAATATTAATAAAACTTTATCTATGTCATCTTCTTTATTCTGTTGTCTATATTGCACTATATATTATCTATATTGATGACTCTCAAGGATAATCAAAATATAGATATTAAAAAATATTAAATAAACGTTGAATGTTTTATATATATATATATAAACATATTTATATGAATCAAAATAGAATACGTATAGTTTCGTATATATCAATTTGATATCACATATTTATTCTCCGACTTTTAGACATGAAACGAAATGCCTAAGAGTTCCTATATAACCGTATAACCGTATATAAACCCTCGTTTTGGCATCATATTTATCCTTCGACTTTTAAACATTTAAAGAAACATCATTGTAATTGTGATATCTGATAAAGTACTTCTCATAAAACAGACAATTGATTTCATGACAATTGAAGTATTATATTTAATCTCTATCATGAAATATTAGAAACATTGATAAGTATTTTAAAATTCAATAAATAATTACGATATCTTTTATGACGGTTAACGATTAAAATAAAAAAACTAATTTTATTTTTTGACAACAATGAGTCAGAGAACCATTTATAGTATATTAACATAAATATACCATTGAGATTATAATAAAATACGAAATTCAATTTTTAAAAATAGGTGACGAAACTAGTTATTTCTATTTATTATAATAAACAAAACGATTTTTGTTATTAATTTAATTATATACACAAACCAAACTAGTTTATATACAAATACTTTTTATATCTAACAAAGATTTTAGTATAGTCGGACTACGCTGCTCTATTGGGAGCCTGCCTTATTTATTATTGTTAGTCATCATTATAATACCAAATTTTCACACAACAAATAATATCTTTTTTAATTACCACAATCAATTTAACAGCAGTTGAATAATAAAAACATAAATATTTAAGAAAATAATATATATATTCAAATGTACATAATAAAAATTTGATAAGAATAAAGAAGAATTATTATTTTAAATACACATTTAAAAAGAATTGAAATATAAGAGAGATAGATAAATCGATAGATTTTCACGATGGCCTTTATTTATATGAACTACAAATATAAACAAACAATGTATCGGTTTATTGATATCCCTTTTTGCACGAGTACTGATCTCTAAGTTTTTGAGATAGACTACTTGAGAAAGACTCTTTAAAATTTGTCATCATCTATTGATCTATTGATATCTAGCTTTTTACACGAATGTTGATCATTAAGTATTTGATACACATTTCTTGGAAAATAGTTTAAGAATTTGTCTTAAAGAACTACTCAGTATTGATTCTTTTTTTATTATTTATTAACCAGATTACCATTGTCATTATTATTTCAGACAAATATTTTATCGATCGAATATGATTTCAACACATTTGTATGTAGGGTAGTTAAGCTTCAGCAACTCCAAACCTTACTTTTTTACTGGTTTTACTTTATAAATTACGAAACGATAAATAAATGTTGTTTAAACTGCCTCATACCATCAAAGATCATCAATATTCTTGAATCTCCCTACTAAATTAAAAAACAAAAACAAAATCTGATTATAAAAATGTGAGTCATTCAGTGATAGTTGTGGAATAAATAAAAACAATTTTGGGGGAATTCTTTATAGAACCTACTTTTATCAATTGTCAAAATTTAATGGTTTTCATTGATTTTGATCGAAGAGTTTACTGAAAGTACTCTGATGACATACATTCATATGATGTCATTTTATGTGTTTCAGATAATATGATGAGTTCATTAATTTGTTATGTTTTAAAGGTCAAAATGTTTCGAAATCTATAATATATTATCAGTAAATTTTAATACCTTTTGATTTGCAACATTTATTAGAAGAAAAAAGAAAACAGAATTTCATATGTAAAGAAAGCTAATCGCACAAGACTCCTACATTCACATAAAAACTACTTAAGATTAATAATATACATGAACTTATTAAGATATGGTTTAAGATAATATTAAATAACGAGTTTCCAACATTTCTTTAAAATATTATTTTAAGTTTGTTAAAATAATTATGTATATATACATGCACACAAATAATATTGTATACATATATATGATATATATTTTTAGATTAATTAATATAATTATGAATGTTGCGAAAAAAAAATGGAGATAACAGCAAAAGGTTATATATTTCAGTGTATGTAGAAGTGGTTTAACATAACGGAAAAGTGAAAAATTTTAGAAAAGAAATCGCTTAAGAGTTATTATCTCACATCCTGTGTTCAAGAATTTAATATCTAGAACTAGTCTAGGAAGCAATTAACAATCAGGAGATGAATTAGAAGAATTAATGATTGAAAGGCGCCATGTTAATATATTATCGATACTAATACATACAAGTACTTTTCAAACCAAATTTAGTGCGATTCATAGATATTTCCAATTTATACTTATGATTTTGATGACGGCATAATCTTATGATTACAAGACAGCTTATTTATGCTCAATACACAAAGCTTATATATAATAGAGATATTGAGACTAGTGAAACAAGAAGTTTGTCGCTTATAAGTTTCAAGCTACCTAACCGACTAAGTTCACTCTATAGATTTTATAATGTGCCAATTCCAATCCATTTCTCCTCCTAAATAATCACCCCTCATCTTACACTACCATTAGCTATCTTCAATGAAGGGCTTAAAATATTGCCTCGGTAGGCATACCTGTGGTATGAGGCGACAAAAATCCCGGCGCTATGCCGACATTTGTGCAAAAAGTGTATATGGTAGGTGTTGTCCCAGCCTGCAACACTCGACCAGTGGTGTAAATCTGGTACTACGGGAGTCAGTGGCCCGCAGTTTCGGCTGTGTTAGACAGTTGAACTTGGATTCGTAGTGGCTGTGGTTAATACCTAAACTTACGCGGGAAGAATGATCAAGTATTTGTTTATCATTCATTTGACGTTGAATTGCGTGTTCATCACCGGGTGCTGTGACTCAAAGATCAGCACAGGTTGTAGATACTCCTGGCATCAAACCACGGTGGAAATTATGTTTTGCACAAATTTCTTCATAGGCACCGGCGAAAATGTCTACGGCGCATACCCAGTTATCTTTTCAGATATATATATATATATATATATATATTATTTCATAAAATAATATAATAATTAATAATGATCACAACATTAAAAGATCTTTAATTCGAAATTTATTTTGATGCACTTTCAAAAATCAACTACTCTCATATGGCACCCTGTATTTTTATGGTTAAAGTTTTGCATAAGCTGATACGTAGCAATAAACAAAGCGGAGGTTGAGTCAACCAACTTTAATGTTACAAAACCAGAGTAACAATTACAACAATAACGAAACAGTCAAGTTTTGAATAAATGAAGCGTTAATAAATAACAAAAATAATTAAATTTTACTTCACACTTTCAAAAAATAACTGAAATTAAACATTTTAAGTTTTTTTTTATATCTCTAAAGAAAAATGTTGAAATTGCACTTTTAAAAAACGCTGTAAGGGGAAAGAAAATAGTTTAGCAGAAAAATTTCATTTTATACAAACAAAAAATATTTATTATAAAAAAAAAACACCATATACTATATACATAAATGTATGTATATTTAATAATAATAAAAACAAATCTTTATAATAAATATATCCAAGAGGGAATATTTAAGTGAACACAGTCATAACGGCAGAGGGGAACAAAGATTTAACCGACTGTCTGACTGGTTAAAAAGGAGTGCCGCTCATGTTGGAACCGCATTTAAACGTATTCATAAGTTTTAATAACCACAAACTTAATCGCTTCTACTTTTGCCTTAAACGTACACTTCACTCCACTCTACTTCACTATTTGTATTTTTATGAGATGACGTCACTTAAAGAAAAGCCAAACACAAACATAACAAAGCAGAGAACGGCAAAGCTGAGCACACAGCACAGCACAGCACAGCACAGTTGCCACTTATATTTTTCTTATTTGTTTTTATTGTGTTCCTTTCTTTTCCTTTCCTTTTTTTGCGGTTTCGCTTTAAATTCGCGCGCGCATAGCAAGTGACTAAATCGCTGGCTAGCTCAACTGACAAACTGGCTGACTATTCTACTGGTTTGATTTGCTTTGCTTTGCTTAATGTATACGTATGCAACAGTACATTGCGTTCCATCCCGTTCCGTCATCTGCTACGAAGACCAAATGTCTGTCTGTGTCGTGTGAGTTGTTTTTATGTGTATTTTTTTATTTGGGTGCTTGTCATTGTGGTATAGTGTATTGTGGTATTGCTTTCGTTAAATTCGTTGGTTGGTTGGTCTTTGGTTGTTTATCGTAGCAAACGGCAGGCAGGCAGCAGTGACGTAATTTGTTATTTTCTGTTTCTGTTTGTAATGTTTGCTTGAGAGGGTAGTTTTCATAGTTTCGACTGCGTAGCGCTGGAGAATGTTTAAACAATAATTGAAAAATTTACAGTACATAAATTTATAAATAAACTTTATATAATCACTAAGACAATTTATATAAAAATCGATTATATAAAGTTAAATGAAATCGATTGTTTGTAAGTTTGATTTAAAATTTATTATGTAGAAGGGGATGAAATAAACAATCCAAGTTAAATTTTCTTTCGTAGATTGGAGATTTAATTTTTTAAAGAATTGTTCTAAAGTATAAAGTTTAAAATTAAGTATCACTTTGACAATGTATCTCCAGAACAGTATTTTAGTATTTCGCAGTCAAATTATTAACAAAATTGTAATTCTAAAGTGTCTCAATATCAGTTACACGGCTTGAATAATGGATAGATAATACCCATTAGTACATGCTTGTATCCAGAAATTTGTTACTGTTCATCTCGATATATTGTTACATCTGTTTGAATGATACATGGTTTTCATGAATGATACTCAGTTTAACATGGCCAATTACAGTCCCTGACGGTTCTTTTTTTTTACAAGAAAAAATTATTTGTCAAAGTTATTTGTTGGAATAAGCAGACTGGCTTAAATCGTTAGAAGATAAATACTTCATTGCAAGAAAATAAGGTCAGTCACTATATTTCAACCATCTCAAAACATTGGTCTCTCTCCTGTTTAGGCATAGATATTAATAGTTTTAAAGACAGTGGTGAAAAGCAAGACTTTAAATTCAAAACATATATATCAATTCAATTATATACATTATATAAAAAGAGATCGCTGTGAGCTGCACTGTCACGGGTTATAAGAGATATGTGGTAATTCTATTTTATCACTTTATTATTGATTAAGACACTTTTAAATATATGTTGTAAATATTTATTATTTTACAAGCATATATGGTTTAGCAAGTATTTATGTGTTTTTTTGGGCTAGTTAATGTGTTCGCCACAAATATAGTAGATTAAAAATAATAAGAAATTTATTCATAATTCAAAATTTGTGTCAACTGATATAATATGTAAGCAACTGCTAACTATGGGTGTTAACTTCGTGAAGGATAAAATTTTAGTTATTATTAAAATGTAATTTATTAACTTTGAACTGAGGATAGGAAACAGTGAAATTTAAGTATATATATAACACAATACAGTAGATAGTTAATATTAAGTATATTAAAATTGGAATCTTTGATGCAGAAACATATTTTTTTATTTTGGAGGTGAAAGCTTAGAAGAAGAGTATTTGAGACAAATATATTTTAGATATCAGAATTTAAAGAATCTTTGTAGCAGAAATATGCTTTTTTGGAGCTCGAAATTTAGAATAAGAATATCTTTTATTATTAAAATTGTGTGTTCGTTTCAAATTGTATTTGAGACGAATAATGTATTTCAGATATCAGAATTATAACGAAAGGGACTTCGAGTTGGCAGCCCCTGTTATAAAATCATTACATTCCGGAATATAAAAACTATATTATGAAAATTGAAAAAAAAAAAAAACTTTAAGTGAAAATAACTAAGTCTTATATCCATTAATCAGTAGCAAGTAATTTAAATGGCATATATCATATAAAAAAGTATATATATACATAAAAAAATCTTTCACCGAGATAAAAATTTGTACACGAAAATTGTGCTCTTCCAGAGGGAAAGAAAACTGTTGCTATAAGCAGGCAGCATATTATAGTACTCCAGCTGAGATACCGTGTCTTTTCTTCTGTTTGCTGTGTATACTTTTAAAAATCAACAAATAATTTGTCACTAAATTTTAACACGTTTTGGCATCAATCTTACATTAATATGGTTTTTTCTTTATTTGTTTATTAATTTGAAACACTAATTTTCGTTCAAATTTTTTCAGCACATTGAAAAATAAATTTGCTAAATTAGCAATTTTTTTATTGTAAATTATATTTATATCATTAAGTAACTTTTTAATATACACTTTCGATTTGTTACGGACTTTTACGGTATTTTATTAAATTCTTTTAATAAAATAATTCATTTACAAATTTAACGATACCGAAAAATAATAGCGGTCAATACGAGCACACGAATACAAATTTCGTATGAAGAACTAAAGTAGAAGGAAAATAGAAAGAACTTCACTTCTGATGACATCACTAATTTTTATTATTGTTGTTGGTTTTTGTAAACAAACTGTCAAACATTACTAATAAGCCGATATGAGTGGAAAAGAGAAAAGTAGTGTTATTAAAACCCATCACAAGTCGGGCAATTAAATGACGTTATAAAAAAGTACTTCCTTTTCGCTATTTTAATAATTATTTATTTCATAATTAACTTTAGTAGATTAATATTACAAAATAATACTATACACACTTTTTTAATCCGTTTATATGAAATGTAGTTCACAAAATATTAATTTATTTTTTATTTATTTGTAGAAATATTAAAAATTTGCAGAGCAGCAACAAATAAGATTTTTCTATTGCACAGAGTCTTTCCATATTGTACCAAATTTTCGCAAAAGCATATTTCAATACATTTCACTATTCTCTGCTTGTGAAAAAGTGTGCATGTGGGAAAGAGATAACAATTGTGAGCAACAGAAATGTGTAGTAGTTTGGTCTTTGAGACAAATTCACCACGAATGACAGGGTTGTATAAATTATATTCTTGTTTCATATAATTTTTATGTTTACAATATTTTAAATTTGTACAACACATAAATATTATTGTATTATAATACAATAATCGTTTAATACAATAATCACTTTTATTACAATGTAAATGAAGCTTTTATTGTAAAAATTAATTAAGTATAATGTGTGGGTTTATATTTATCTATATATTTCGAAGCAATACCACAAATATATCCCATTATGATTATTAAATTTTTACAGAAATTATTTTTTATATTCAATTAATTTTAAGTTTTATTAATATAAATAATATTAAATAATATACACATTTTTGTTTCAAACTCACATAATCTATATAGAAATATTTTTTTATTTAGTGAAATTAATTAATGAATATTATTTAATGAATGAAAATTTTATTGCATTTTTTTGTTTTATATTTTACTTGGAATTATTGGTTGAAAGGAAGAACTATGTATTTCGTTATTAAAATTAACATAAACTAAGATTGAGTAAGCAAAAAGTAAAGTGTAATTCAAAGACAAGCACCAAATAACCTTACAGAGTGACGAAGTTCAAGGCTAAACGGGGGTTGGGTGGCCAGCGAATGTTCCGGGTGGAAATTTCAATAAATTGAAGGATATTTGCTCACTTTAACTTTAACTTCAACATAGAATTGTAAATGAAAGTAGACGTAAAGAGGAAAGCGAAAATAAGTGAAATGCTACAATTATGATAAAAATTGGAACACCTTTTTTGAAGTTGTTCCAATAAATGCACAAATATGACGCGAGCGGAGCGATACTGTTTACTTGAAAATATGATAAGAGGGCACACAATTGGAAATATTGCTCAGGTTCCAATAGCAAATGTGTTTACTTTTGTTATCTAAACGAAAAGTAAAATTATTATTTATTGACATGCTCGATATGTAAATATAATCATCCACAAACTAGCAGATAGACATAATTTATCAATTATAGATTGCATTTGTTTCGATTTAAATTTATTTTAAAACATTATTAAGGGTATTTTAACGCATTAGAAAAGCATTTCATTTTTATTAATAATTTTATCAAAAAAATTTTCAGTAGCACTTAAAAAAAATTACACCCACAATATACTATAAAGATAAGTGAATTTTTATTTTGGCTTATTCGCATACTAATAATATCATTTTGTGAGAAGTGATTGCATTCACACGGAATACTATAAATCTTAATGAGAATAATGCCTTCTCTATACACCTAAAAACTAGTTATTATTTTTTGGATTTTAAGCAAAGATTAAATTAAAATCGTATTGGTTTTATTAAGTAATATTAATTAATGATTGCATGGTTTCAATAGTGACCAGATTTATGTAATCCATGAAAATCAACTGACTCTACAAATTCTCGTTAAAGTTTTAACTTTTGTAAGGAGACTGAAACGATAAAAGGCAATATTCTATATTCTATATTTTTATTGTCTGAATAATATGCAAAATGGCTTTAAAATGTTTCAATAATAAAAGTCATTTAATCATTTAATAATTTTTTACTTTTGATATATTAACAAATAACATGACTTCATTAGTCGCAATCTAATTGTTAACTGTTAAAGTTTGTTTAACTATTACCACCGACATAGCCACAGCTATGGTTCTATCTAGACTACGTACATAGCCAAGATAGACCCATGAGAAAATCCACTTTTAAATGCATTTGCTAGATATTATTTTAAAATTAAAATTGAAATCATGAGGTCACCTATTGGATTATTTCTAATTTCTAATCACTATTAGAAGGTAACAGCCTTTCCTAAATACATATGCCGAGTTTCATACAACAGTCTCCGTTAAAAGATCGTTTCGTGCACGAATGAAGAAATGAAGTAAGATTCAGCCTATTGCCATATAATGACATTACTTGAAAACTTCACAGTTTCTAAGTGACATTTATTGATATTTATACTTGCGGATATACACATATATTATTATTACAAAAATAAAAAAAAGCACATGTAATGCGATTTATTTCACTTCTTAAGGAATTGATATTGATTTACATTCATACTTTAGCGTACACGCATTCATACAGTAAAACAACAATAATAAAATAATACCGGTAGCAACAGCAGCAGTAGAAAAGTACCGATAGTGAAAAAAATTATATAGAAATATAGAATGACGAATGACATCCTCAGTGACCTCAACATTGATCCGATCAAAAAATACATAAAGGATAAAGTCCTGAAACTATTTACGAAAACTGACAGACTTACCAACATCCAGTTATCGAATCTCAGAATGGTTACTGGTCCCTCGGGGAGGTATGCAGATATGAGGTCAATTATTGCTTAGTCTGATGAAGTGATAAACAATAATCTAGTCAAGGCGTAGAGAGGGGTTATAAAGGAACCTCGCAGTTAATAGAGAGTAAAAGTGCCAAAATGCACTGACTCAACTAGGCTCAACATAATAATAATAGAAATTCTTTTGAAATTTTAGAAATAAGAATTAGCTTTTATAGTAGGTATTCCATAAAATATTTAAAATTATATAATTATTTTATAGATCCACTTAAGTTCAGCAACATTTACGTTTTGTGTACTATACAAAATCGTATGTCCTATGAAAACGTAACATTAATGCAACAGTTTATTTAAAATTAAATAATTTGCAACAGATGGATTTTTGCTTCACAAAGACTTAACTCTTGAATTAATAGAAAAAATTCAAGTTTTCACGCAAAAAAGCGCGCGAAAACTGCATACAACTGAAATAGAAATAAAAATACCTACAAATTATTATGATGATAATAATGACTTATAAACGGCTATGGCAGAGACAACAACAAAGCAACAATAACATCAGTGCAAAAAGTAATAACAATGATTTCTATTGATGTCGCAGTAAAGCCATTAATGTTGACGTTTGTACGCGCAATTTGAGGTGCTGCGTTTCTGTTTTGAACTTTTGCCGTTCATTATGACGATGTAGAAGAAAAAAAAGTAATGCTATGTTGTTTGTATTGGCATGTCCATTATTTTTTCTTCTCTAGATTTTCTTCTATTATTACTATTATTGCAGTAGTTAATAGCTTGTGTAATGCGGCAGCGCCGCAGTTCAGATTAATTTGAAATTCTGTCGGACATTTATGTTAAGTGTGAACTATCGTTAAAGCGATAATGATTGTTATGTTGCTTTAAAGTAGTGTAAAAGGGTAATTGACACGTTGAATGACGGAAGTTTAAAAGACACACACACAGACACAGACTGAGACGCAGCATATACGTCATACAGCTTGCAGCAATGTTGACATTATGTTGCAGTAACCGAGCTGTAGTATTTTATCGTCACCTATTAGACATTATCACACATTATGTAGTGGTTGGTGGTGGATGTAGAGTAATTGATTTTAATATCATTACGTATACGTAATGTTATCTTACTTGTAAATTTAATTCCTTTTCAATTTAGTTTTATTTTTGTTGCTTTAATTTTTTATTCACTTGATACATGTGCGTACATTTATTAGTTAAGAATGCACTTTAATTAAAACAAATCAATTTGTAATATTTTCAATGAATACAGTGAGCAGCAGTTTGTTGTTGTTGTGTTGTATTTGTTGTATGTAGAAATTGACGTCAAATACTTTTCAATTATAATAGTATTAAAAGTATTTAATTGTGATTTGCAAAATATATTTATATAGATATATGTAAATATACAATAAGTCCAAAAAAAAAAGAGTAGCAAAAAAATTATAAAACATAAGCTTACAAGCGTAAAATAATTTTAAAAATTTTAAATTGTTTATTTTTTTAATTGACGAAAAATGAGCATATTAATGGGTAATAGCGCGATAATAAAAAAGTATAATCCTTATTAGAAGAAAAATCTTATTTGTACACAAAACCTAAATAAAATAAAAAATTAAATAATATTGTTCTTAGCAGTGTTGTCATGTATATTGTTTAATTTTTTTTTGCACGATTACGTCAAAACTATAAATTTTAATGTTTTATTTCATTTTTTGTTATTGTTTCTATAGCTGCTGCTTTGCCATTTTAGTTGTTGGTAAAATTGTCTTAGCTTTAAGGTAAAATAAATATTGTACGCAGCTTTAAAAAACGGTTTAAATATTATTTTTTGAAATTATTTTTGAATACACAAACATTGGTTTACTGTTCTTCATTAATATGTTATTTATAAACTCATTTATCTTTTTATAAAATAAAAACTCACAATAAAAAATATTATCACCCACTCCGGCTGCTTTACGACGAAGACTAAAAGTAGCAACAAAAACTTTTCTTGGGTGTCGTAATTTTATTTCGTCGTTTCTGCTGTATTGTTTTTGTTGTTGTTTTTGTTTTTGATTTTATTTTATTTTTTTTAGTTGAACTTTTTGCACATTCAACATTCAGCTAAAAACCTCCTTACGTAGTGTTTTTGTTGTTTCGATTGTTGTTGTTGTCGCCACGTCAAAGTCATTCTAAATACACACACTTTTACTCATTTACTTACAAAACACTTTATTTGTTACCCCACTGCACACCGCATTGACGAAGCACAGCACACATAGCACAAGCATGCTTGGAATTGGAATTTTTCATATTATCTCTGCTTTACCTTTTAATACACATTTTTTTTCTATATGCTATCATTAAATCTCTCTCCGAAACACTCTCTGATTACGTAGCAGCTTGTGTCGTCGTCGTTGTTGTTTGGTTTCGTAGTTTCGTAGCTGTTGTTTCGTATTTGCTTCAGATTGAGCTTCTTGCTATACGTTGGCTGGCTCATGTACATATGTATATGTAGGTATGTGCGCATACGTTGCTGTGCGAAATCTACAGTTGGCTCACCTCAAATGAGTTAAATTGACTTTTCTTTATGGATTTTTAATTGTTAATCATTTAATTAATTACATTTACTTATTTATTTACTTTGTAACAAAAGAAGCAAATTTTAAAATTTATTGTTTATAGTTGATAATTGTTTAAAACCATGCATAACGTATGAGTAATATTTTAATTAATACTTTAAACAATCATAATCGAACTTCGTTAAGATAAATTTTATTAGTAATTACATGAATATATATATAAATATATATATATATACAGAACTTTCGATTAAAAGTAAGACAGTGTTTGAGTTTTACCAAACTAAAATTGTGAAATATGACTGGAGATATTTATATATGAAATAATAACGAAAATATTTAATAATAAAATTTACAATCGAATCCTCTCTTTATATATATAATATATTATATATATTACATATATATATATAATATTATATATATACATAGTAATTTTAAATATCTTTTGTGTTCTAAGTATATATATATATATATGTAGGATTCCTTTTTATTAGAATCAAAACTAATTAATTAAATTACAAAAAAAATATATATAAATGAAAAAAACTGTTTGTTCTTCCGCACACACGTCATTACTTCACACGTCTTCTTTCTGCACTGCCACACTACGTTTGTTTCTTCTTTTTTACTTCCTTATGCTCGTGTGCTGGCGTTGCCAGATCTGCGTCCCACAATCGGCCATCCTGCGATTCGTTCGACCCGAATGAAGTGTCATTGTCAGCAACTGCCCAAGGCTTCATATACTCTGCGCAACTGCTAGTCCGCTTTGACCCTTCGTTTTTTCCGATTTTTATAACATCATACGTATCGTTTGATTTAACTCTCTCGACCTCGTAAGGTCCTAAGTATTTTGGTTTTAGCTTCAGTCCTCCCGAAAACTGCGTCCTTTTGATTGCGACTACGTCGCCTACTTTGTACTTTACGGCTGGCCTGCGTCTTTGGTTATATGCATTCTTATTTTCTAACTGGATTTTCAGTATTTGTTGCTTTGCGCGTTGCCTCATTTCTTCTCGGTCTTCATTAAAAATCGTTGTAATTTCCTCTTCGATAATTTTTTTGATCTGAATATCTTCCTTTGTTTGCATTTTAGCACCAATTAATAATTCAAAAGGCGTCGTTCCAGTACTTCTGCAATACGTGGAGTTTATTATCTGCTGCACTTTGTCAACATTTTTATACCATTTAGTTGGATCTGCCATGCTTAATTTTGCCAAAACTGGTGCAATTATGCTATTCAATCTTTCGACTTGTCCGTTGGCCCTGGCTAAGCCCGTAGTAATTTTGATGTGTTTAATACTTTCACCCTCGCAATACTTACGAAAATCATCTGAAGAGAAAGCAGCACCTCGGTCTGATATTATTTGATTAGGATTACCAAAAACTATGCTTTGCGTACGCAATCGGGATATAGCCTCGTTAGCTGATGTGGTTCGAGTTGGATATATCCAACAGAATTTAGTAAAAGAGTCAATAACGACAAAGATATGCTTATATTGTTTGTTCGTTGATTCTAATGGTCCCAAAAAATCAACATGGTACGTGTGTAATGGTATACTTTCTTTAATCAATGAGTGTAGTTCGCCTTCTTGCTTACCCTGCTTCCGATTCACAACGATACATGGAATACAATTCATAATGTGTTTTTGTATTTTTTCTTCCAATTGAGGTATAAAATAGTCATTTCGGAGTAGTTCACTTGTTTTTTTTTACGGCAAAATGTCCCTTTTCATGTGCATGTCTAATTATTTCACGCTGCATACTCTTAGGTACAACAATAAGTTCTTGGTCATTTCTCAGCTTATACAACAACTCTCCTTTCTTAAAATAATCGTTGTATGAAGATTTTTCTTGTAGAATATCCGATATCGTTTTCAGGTTTTCGTCTTGCATCTGTGCTCTCCGTATTTTAGAAAGAATATTATCTTCATCTATGCACATAACGGCGTAGCGGCTTAAAGCATCAACATGCTTCATTCGCGAACCAACACGATGCTGAACTTCGTAATCGTACTCCTCTAAGAACAATATCCAACGGGCT